TGCAGAAAACGGAAGTAAAAAACGGTAACTTGACTAAACGGTGGAGAGGGAAAACAAATATATGCATCAACGGGAAGGAAAAAAAGGCAGACGTGGAGGAATAAAAGAACGGGAGAGTAAATAGGGAAATACGAAAGTAGAGGAAAGACAATGGAGTTACCTGCAGCCGCGCCGTACCTCAAAGTCAATAGTGATCCCTGTTATTTTTTCTTTGTAAGAGTTGCGAGCGTTCAATACCGCGGTGGTGGCTCCGTACAGGTTTGTGTGAAGTGGTCAGAATTCTGAAACACCACGAAAGTCATGACAAAAATCTTCTTTCTCAATGGTAGAGCGTTCGGCTCTACCGCTGGGAAGGGGCGCCGCCCTCACTGCAACCGTTCCATTCCCCTGGGTAATATTTTTTAAGTCTCCGTGATGTAAAAAAAAGTGATTAAGCCTGTAAGAATAGCCTATGTTACATATATCTGAGGAATTACTACCTGCATTTCCTTCAAGATTATTTTCATGACTGCTATCTTCGTAATTAACGCAGAAAACAGCGAAAGCGTCTCTTTTTCTGGGCTGTGATTCGTCAAAAGTCAGTTTATTTTAATATGGAGTTTCTGGCAACTCTAATATCAACTTTGATTCAAAAAACTTCTTTAATCTTGAAGATCTTCTCATAAAAGATGTACGTGGACTACGTGGGAATTAGTAGATGGTTAGGATATCATCCATGAGGACCTCCAGACTCACAGGAAAGAAGCCACACTGCTTGGTTTTCTTTGGCTATTCTGGTTTATTTCAGTGCTCATCCTTGGTTTATTAACCAAAGAACACTTAGCCTAAGAAAGTCCGGGTTATTGCAGTGCTCATCCTTGGTTTATTAACCAAAGAACACTTAGCCTAAGAAAGTCCTCTTCTTCTAACAACGCGTAGTCAGAGGTGTGAAGGTTAAATGCCTAAGCTCCTTGACTACCGTCTACACTGTGAGCCACAAGTGTGGTAAGAGGATACGGTACCTTGTATCTTTAACGTGAAACACAATCAAGAAAACATTTACGCACAATTATCACTTGGACAATATTTCCACCTGTCAACATCTGCAAGTCAACAGATGAATGAGTTAAACCAATAAAAGTTCTTGTGTAATTTAGAAGTTATGTAAACACAGTGGCATCAGCACCAGAAACAAAGATGACAAACATTTAAGTATAATTTAGTAACCAAGAGAAAGTGTCGCTCAGCGCACACATGCACACACACACACACACACACACACACACACACACACACACACACACACACACACACACACACACACACACACACACACACACGGGATGTTCCAGACATGGGACACAGACACAAGAGGTCACAATTGGAAGTTGAAGACTCAGATGAATCAAAGGGATGTTAGGAAGTATTTCTTCAGTCACAGAGTAGTCAGGCCTTGGAACAGCCTAGAAAGTGACGTAGTGGAGGCGGGAACCATACATAGTTTTAAGGCGAGGTATGATAAAGGTCATGGAGCAGGGAGAGAGATGACCTAGTAGCAATCAGCGAAGAGGCGGGGCCAGGAGCTATGACTCGACCCCTGCAACCACAAATAGATGAGTACACACACACACACACACAACACACACACACACACACACACATGAAGATTGGGGAAGGGCAAAGAAGGCCGCAGACGGAGTACAGTCTAGGGGGTCAGAGACTACAAACCTCACTCAAGGAAAAAGATCTTGGGGTGAGTATAACACCAGGCACATCTCCTGAAGCGCACATCAACCAAATAACTGCTGCAGCATATGGGCGCCTAGCAAACCTCAGAACAGCATTCCGACATCTTAATAAGGAATCGTTCAGGACCCTGTACACCGTATACGTTAGGCCCATATTGGAGTATGCGGCACCAGTTTGGAACCCACACCTAGCCAAGCACGTAAAGAAACTAGAGAAAGTGCAAAGGTTTGCAACAAGACTAGTCCCAGAGCTAAGAGGTATGTCCTACGAGGAGAGGTTAAGGGAAATCAACCTGACGACACTGGAGGACAGGAGAGATAGGGGGGACATGATAACGACATACAAAATACTGAGAGGAATTGACAAGGTGGACAAAAACAGGATGTTCCAGAGATTGGACACAGTAACAAGGGGACACAGTTGGAAGCTAAAGACACAGATGAATCACAGGGATGTTAGGAAGTATTTCTTCAGCCACAGAGTAGTCAGTAAGTGGAATAGTTTGGGAAGCGATGTAGTGGAGGCAGGATCCATACATAGCTTTAAGCAGAGGTACGATAAAGCTCACGGCTCAGGGAGAGTGACCTAGTAGCGATCAGTGAAGAGGCGGGGCCAGGAGCTCGGACTCGACCCCCGCAACCTCAACTAGGTGAGTACAACTAGGTGAGTACACACACACACACACACACACACGAAGAACCTTCCAAACAAGCTTCCATACAAGAAAACAATAAGTGCTGCAAGTCGACGCCAACTCAAATACATGCAGTAGTAGTTGCTAACAAGGACGTTAAGTTAAACTCTCAATATTTTCAACCTTGCGTAAGTTATTATGATTTACGTAAAAAGCTGCTACCTTTCAGGTTACGAATGAGATGCTGTTGGTTTTATGACTTGTTGCGCGATTCCTTCCCCCCCCCCCCCTCTCCCTTCCCCGTCTCTCTCTTTTTACGTCAACGACAGAACAATAATACAAAAATAAAAGTCAGTGACAACAAACAGAAGCCTCGACGACCTCCACTAAAATAAATAAATGTTACGCTCAAAAACAGACCTTGTACCAAGCATGACACCCTGGCATCTGGACCCTGTACCAAGCATGACACCCTGGCATCTGGACCCTGTACCAAGCATGACACCCTGGCATCTGAACCCTGTACCAAGAATGACATCCTGGCATCTGAACCCTGTAACAAGAATGACATCCTGGCATCTCGGCCTTGTACCAAGAATGACATCCTGGCCCTATACCAGGCATAACCATCCTCACATGCAGCCCCTGACTGACCATGACACCTGAACCCTCTACCGAGTATAACATCCTCTTTGCACAAAACTCCTGGAAAACGAAACGTTGCCACAATATAATGTCACACGAGCTGCAGATGACAATAAACAATAAACATCACTAGATGTAAACACAGCACCAACAGAACTACAACATGCATCACTAGATACATATAAGCACAGCACCATCACAAGACACAATATTAAATTCCTCTGCCAGCTCCAGCCTCTCATGGTGTGAATATATAAAGTTTTATTACGCTCGTACTCCTTCCTTTCCTCCCCTTCAACTCTCTACTTCTTTTACTCAGCCTCTCCCTCTTGAACCAGCGTTGCCCCTCCCTCTGTCCCAGGTTCGACTCCCTGGCAAACATTTGGTCAAGTTTCTTCACATCCTTGCTGGATCAGTAAAAATAGGTACCTCTAGTACCTGCTGGAATGTCATATCCAGTATACGAAACCACTAAAAGTGCTGTAAGAAAGTCCAGTACCAGTCGGCATGTCATACCCAGTATGAGACACCATTACAAGTGCTGTAAGAAAGTCCAGTACCTGCTGGGGTGTCATACCCAGTATGAAACACCATTACAAGTGTTGCAAGAGATTCCAGTACGTTCTGGAAGCATTCACATGTTGGATAATGAGTATCTGTGTAACTAATGAGGTTAATTAAAAAATTCTACCACTCTCTCTTTCTCTCTCTCTACCCAACACAGTTCCCCTGCCAGCCTGCGACTTCCGGAATCTAAACTAATTAAAACTTTTAACTACAGGAGAAAAAAAAAAGAGTGCCTATTATTAATCATATGGAGGGAAGATAAGCAGAAAAGGGAGGGGAGGGAAGGGAAGGGAAGGGGGGGGGAGGGGGAGGGGAGGGGAGGGGGAGGGAAGGGAATGGGAGGGAAGGGAAGGGGAGGGAAGGGGAGGGAAGGGGAGGGAAGGGGAGGGGAGGGGAGGGGGAGGGGAGGGGAGGGGAGGGGAGGGAAGGGAAAGGGGACGGGAGGGAAGGGAAGGGAAGGGAAGGGGAGAGATAAAAGGGGGCAAGAAATGGGTTCTGTTTTATTTTTGAAGTTTATTAAACAGATTTAGTTTGTAAAATTCTATAATAAATGTACAGTATCAACACCAAGCTGCTACTGTCATCACCAATTTACTCTTATTACATCAAGCATTTCCATAATACAACTATTCAAAATCTGTTTTTCACATTCTGCAAGTCACACTCATAAAATATTCCAGCAAAGGTAAATGAAAGGGAAAACATCCCTACTATTTATGCTGAAAGTGATGCTGGGTTCTTAGGCAAGCACCCTGTGAGGAGTCAGCCCCCCCCCCTCCAAGAGAGGGCCCCCTATTCCTAGGTACAAACCACAAACCCCACCACCACTTTAAGGTGACCCAGCATGGGGCCAGGGAGGGAAGGGATGGAAGAAATGGGACAAAAACACTGCCCAATTCGCTTCATTATTTACAAGAAGAGATAGGGAAGAAAGGGACAGACTTTGAAATGTAAGGTGGGACAGAGGAAAGCTCGACACACATGAACTCCGGGGACATCAGGACACTAGGTCTTCAGTGGAAGAAGCTGCATGAGGAAGAGGTGAAGGCAAACTCCACAGTGTCAAGAGTAGGCACAAGGCCCGGGAACCAATAAAGATAAAGATTTATTTCTTCGTAAAGGTTACAATGTGTAATTACAATTTTGGTTTGCTAAGTACGTACAAAGAAAGCCACTATCATGCCAGGGCATTTTGGGCATTTAAGGGAAAGAAACAAGGCCAGGAGCTGAGGCTTGACCCCTGTCATCACTAATGGGTGAGTACTACCAACTCCAACTCCTCTCCATTAACTCTCCAATTTATAAAAAGTTTAAAATTATGCAGACCTAAATAAAAACTTTGCCACTCTCCTCTCCCTCAACCATCACCAACCCCTCATACCTCTCCCCTCATTAACTACTACTACTCTCTTTCTTCCTCCCACAGCCGCACAATGAGGGCAAACGGACTCACCAACCTAAGAGATCAAGAGAACACAAGCTCAACAACCGCATGGAGCATACTGACCACCATCGACGTGAGTACTATCAACATGACTATAACTGATACACAAGGGTCGTACAGTGCCTAGATGTCAGTACTGTTCTACCAACACCACTTTACTATGAGACACTGATACTCCCATAAGGGTCATACAGTGCCTGGCACATAGGAGGCTATCAGGCTTCTTCCAAGAGAAGGGTAGCTCCAAGTCTTTGAATCAAGAGAAATTCTCTGACATCAAATCACCCCTTCGAAGGGTACTAAAAATTATAACACTCACACTCTTGTCCATAGGTTGTACACGACTACCTTTACAGTATTATTTTTGCGAACTAAACCCTTAGAGATCATACTGTGTCTGGTGATGATACATGGGTAGACTAACCCTAATTTCTTAGATCTGGAGCTCTTCTGTATCAATGCACCCCAGTCCTCCCTTGCAAGGTCCAAAGGACTATTTTTACTATGTGAATCACTGATGCAGTTGAGGGTGTAGGTAGGTAGTTGTGACATTTACGGAGCACACCGACTGCATAGATCACTCAACACTCGACCATAACAAATATATACCTGGTACAAAAAACAATAATAAAAAGGATAAAAATAATAATAAAGAGCAACAAATACTCAACATGACTAAATACTATATCACCAATGTAAAATAACTAGCATCATTTAAAAACCCATTAAATTATTAATTTTAAAGTAGTCTTCTAAAAGTTTCCTGAGGTCCCTTCAGGCACCTCAGTAATTATAAAACACATAAGGTGGAAACGCCTACGCCACGGGCAAATTGTTAAAATAGGTTTTGTGTGCGAGGGGCTTGGACTTCCAGCAGGCATGCGTGAGCGTGTTTGATAGGAGTGAATGGAGACGAATGGTTTTTAATACTTGACGTGCTGTTGGAGTGTGAGCAAAGTAACATTTATGAAGGGATTCAGGGAAACCGGCAGGCCGGACTTGAGTCCTGGAGATGGGAAGTACAGTGCCTGCACTCTGAAGGAGGGGTGTTAATGTTGCAGTTTAAAAACTGTAGTGTAAAGCACCCTTCTGGCAAGACAGTGATGGAGTGAATGATGGTGAAAGTTTTTCTTTTTCGGGCCACCCTGCCTTGGTGGGAATCGGCCAGTGTGATAATAATAAAAAAAAATGATCCACAGTCAGCAATACATCACAAACTACAAAGGGAGACAGAAGTACCAGCAAATAGGTGCCTATGGGCAAAATGTATATGCCTGATACTCAGTCAAGAAAGATTAGTCTAGTTGAGGGTGTAATAGTGTGGAGCCAAAGTGAAGTGTAGGAGTAGAGTGGACAGTACTTGGAGTGTGGGTGACTGCTCTTAGGCTGGAATTTGAAAACAGAAACACACTGGAAACTAGTCACAGGTATGTGACAAGTCTATGCATGTTAGTGACATCACTGAACTGTCCACAGGGGACCACGGGCCGGCTCACAAGGTGGAGCAGCATCGTCCGGATTCCACACCCACCCACAAGAAAGAAATACCAGCCCATGATCCCATGCACCATGCCACCCTGCACAGACCAGAGGGCAGCGTGCACAAGACAGAGGGCCGCAAGGGAGCCATGCACAGGTCAAGGAGCAATGTTGGATCCGTACACCTTGGGGTAACAGCAGGAGAATCAGCAGGAACAGCATCAGCAACAGCTCAGCATGACCTTAAAAAGGACCTCCATCTCCAACACATCACAGAACACAACATTGAGAAGAAACACGAAGATAAGGTCAGTTCTCCTCTGTCTGTCTACCAATTATCTCATGGCCTCAACATATATGTCATACAGTAACATAACACAATGCCTAAATCTTCCTCTGACATCACACAATTTGCCTCTTACTACAACCTCAAGCAATACTTCTCTCATCATACAATGTTTATCCTTTCTTTGAAAGTCATACAATTTACTCCTTTTTATACCCAGTATTTACTCTGCTCTGACCTCTCACAAGACTATCCTTCCTCTTGATTTAATGTCTGTCAACCCTGATCCTTCTCAGCCCACTCAACTTCACTCTTCTTAAACCACTTCCATGCAACTCTCGATGACAATTAGGAATGCTGCATCTCCCAGCTTATTAACAAACTTTAATTTCTGTACAACACATTGTTACTCCAATTATGCAATAACATGGCTGATGTTGCACTTCTGAAAACAGTATAATGTGTTTAGTTGCAGCTTCCCAGTTATGTTATATGAGTGAGGTTATCCCTACCAGTCACTGCAACAAACATTTACCTTAATGTATTGAAGCAGTATGCAGCCATATTTTCTTACAGAGCCATCAATATTGTCCTGAAGACAGAGCCTGTTCGACATGTCAATCACAGTTCACAACATATTAAAAGTCTGTTTTCAAGTCAATACAGTTTCAGCTTTCAGTAAATGGACTCATTGTATGCCTAATTATCTATTTTCATATTCTGTAAAACATCATATACCATATCAAACTAATATAAATATAAAAAAAAGTAAATTAAATTATATCAAATTCTTAACTTAAGTATCCACAATCAATCTCAAAATAAATGGGACAGACCATCAGATTTATTTTGCCATACATAACTGTATCTGAACTCTTGAAAACAGATAAAAATGTCGACCATGATCCAAACAATAACGATAATACTTGCATTTTTTTACAGCCATGTGCATTTGCAGACATTGCATTATCTCTATGAACCATAAAGCACGAGCTGACAGTATAACATCAGAATGAACTTCAATAGTTCAGTATCTAAATACTGATGTGACATGTGCCATCCTTCCACTTTTAACACTATGTACTCTGCCCTGGGCATGGTATATACTGTCCATTTACAGGACTTCAGTAACCAATCCCTCTCTCATTAACTCCTTCCCTCACTCACTGTCACACAGTGCTTGCACTGCAAAATCTAAGCCAGCTGCTAAAGCAATTAAAATATGATCTCGGATTTACCAGTAATTTTTGGAGAATTCTTATGGAATCACAACATGAACATACACAGACCAACAGTTATGAAATAGAACCACATAATGGTACTAGATAAACGTGAAACCTCACAAAGAGACAAACGGGGTGAAATGGGAGTTATACATTTTGCCCTCTTGAAAAGATGACCTCAAGAGGCAGAAATATACTGTCACACTTCACCCAGTGTTAGCATTTTTTTCAAATAAACTTGAAGGATTTATCAAACCCTGAGCTATTTTCTTGGGTACACCAATATTTATTTTAAAGCCATCATGAGCAAAATTTAGGAAAAAACAGCATATATACTGTCAACCAGGCACCTGTGATGTATAATGAAACAAAGTCACAAAATGTTTCTGAAAATGTGGTCAGGAACATTTAACAAACCCCATACAATTCTTTAAACTCACTGGCTGTCTCCCACTGAGGTGTGACGACCTTAAAAAAAAAAAAGTCTTGCCAGAAGCATGTGCTGACATTACAGTGCAGGTGCCTCTCTGAATTGTGCATACTGCTGTCTGTTAATGGTTTAGAGGATCACAGCCATGGCCCAGTCTAAGGCCAGGCATCCTAAATTTGGAAGGAGATACTAGAAAAATGAGAACTAATGTACCATGTTAAGAAACACAGGAGGGTAAAGATACGTGTACTCTGATTTTAAGTAAAAACTTGCAAGATTTACTTGTCATGAAACAAAGTCAAGAGCAGCAATTCTGCCAGAGTACAAAATATTTAACAAGCCTTTATTACATACTTATAAAATAGGAAATCAGTACCTCTCTGGTTGTTGTCTATGCATTTACTACCAAAAGCTTTTTTTTGTCTTAATGTTTGTTAGCAAGTTTCATTATTAACGTCATTAAAGTACTTGTTAATAAAACACGAGTTAACATCAACTGCAGGTTCGTGGCTCCAAATTTTACAGTATAAAGCAGCCATACAATTTTCTAAAAAATTATGTTCAACGTTTTTACTAGACTACCACCAAAACAACCACATCCCCATCATTTTAAAACACTGGCTGTTTTCTACCACATAAGATGAGAGAGAGGAGGAAACATTCACCATTACTCATTCAGTAGCAGTCTTGTCAGATGTTCAGGAACACCATAATTTAAATGACTCTCCAAATTGAAACCCCATCCATCTTTCAGAGTGCAGACACTATTTCCCACTTCCAGGACTCAAGTCTGGCAAACTGGCTTCCTTGAATTCCTTCATGTTATGTTACTCACACTCCGACAGCACATCAAATCACAAAAAGCACTGGTCTCCACTTACTAAAAATCTAACAGTCACACATGTCCAAGTAATTGAGAAAGAAAAAAAAAGTACATGAAATGTGTGATATACCAGGAGCAGACACAGCAAACATCGCCTCCTCTCTCTCTGCCTGTTGACCTTTCTCATGTTGTTATATAAGGATCTCCCTCAGTAAAATACTACTGCAACTGCATATTTTATAACATTATATGACTAACTTGTAGGTTGCGACACTCTATCCTTAATTACATTAGCACATGGGCACATGCTTAAACAATAGTAGTTATGAAAATTTGCTCAGGACAAAAGATAAATTTCCATATAAAAACCCACAAAATATTTACTGTATATTTTCTTCCCAAAAAAAAAAAAAATATATATATATATATATTAACAAGTAAGAGGGAGGTGAAAGTGTATAAACTAAGAGAGAAGGAAGTTCGGGTGAGATATAAACGACTATTGGCAGAAAGGTGGGCTAGTGCAAAGATGAGTAGTGGGGGGGTTGAAGAGGGTTGGAATAGTTTTAAAAATGCAGTATTAGAATGTGGGGCAGAAGTTTGTGGTTATAGGAGGGTGGGGGCAGGAGGAAAGAGGAGTGATTGGTGGAATGATGAAGTAAAGGGTGTGATAAAAGAGAAAAAGGTAGCTTATGAGAGCTTTTTACAAAGCAGAAGTTTTATAAGAAGAGCAGAGTATATGGAGAGTAAAAGAAAGGTGAAGAGAGTGGTGAGAGAGTGCAAAAGGAGAGCAGATGATAGTGGGAGAGGCACTGTCAAGAAATTTTAATGAAAATAAGAAAAAATTTTGGAGTTAAACAAGTTAAGAAAGCCTAGGGAAAGTATGGATTTGTCAGTTAAAAAGAGTAGGGGAGTTAGTAGATGGGGAGAGGGAGGTATTAGGTAGATGGCGAGAATATTTTGAGGAACTTTTAAATGTTAAGGAAGAAAGAGAGGCAGTAATTTCATGCACTGGTCAGGGAGGTATACCATCTTTTAGGAGTGAAGAAGAGCAGAATGTAAGTGTGGGGGAGGTACGTGAGGCATTACGTAGAATGAAAGGGGGTAAAGCAGCTGGAACTGATGGGATCATGACAGAAATGTTAAAAGCAGGGGGAGATATAGTGTTGGAGTGGTTGGTACTTTTGTTTAATAAATGTATGAAAGAGGGGAAGGTACCTAGGGATTGGCGGAGAGCATGTATAGTCCCTTTATATAAAGGGAAAGGGGACAAAGGAGATTGTAAAAATTATAGAGGAATAAGTTTACTGAGTATACCAGGAAAAGTGTACGGTAGGGTTATAATTGAAAGAATTAGAGGTAAGACAGAATGTAGGATTGCGGATGAGCAAGGAGGTTTCAGAGTGGGTAGGGAATGTGTAGATCAAGTGTTTACATTGAAGCATATATGTGAACAGTATTTAGATAAAGGTAGGGAAGTTTTTATTGCATTTATGGATTTAGAAAAGGCATATGATAGAGTGGATAGAGGAGAAATGTGGCAGATGTTGCAAGTATATGGAATAGGTGGTAAGTTATTAAATGCTGTAAAGAGTTTTTATGAGGATAGTGAGGCTCAGGTTAGGGTGTGTAGAAGAGAGGGAGACTACTTCCCGGTAAAAGTAGGTCTTAGACAGGATGTGTAATGTCACCATGGTTGTTTAATATATTTATAGATGGGGTTGTAAAGGAAGTAAATGCTAGGGTATTCGGGAGAGGGGTGGGATTAAATTATGGGGAATCAAATTCAAAATGGGAATTGACACAGTTACTTTTTGCTGATGATACTGTGCTTATGGGAGATTCTAAAGAAAAATTGCAAAGGTTAGTGGATGAGTTTGAGAATGTGTGTAAAGGTAGAAAGTTGAAAGTGAACAAGAAAAGAGTAAGGTGATGAGGGTATCAAATGATTTAGATAAAGAAAAATTGGATATCAAATTGGGGAGGAGGAGTATGGAAGAAGTGAATGTTTTCAGATACTTGGGAGTTGACGTGTCGGCGGATGGATTTATGAAGGATGAGGTTAACCATAGAACTGATGAGGGAAAAAAGGTGAGTGGTGCATTGAGGTATATGTGGAGTCAAAAAACGTTATCAATGGAGGCAAAGAAGGGAATGTATGAAATTTATAGTAGTACCAACACTCTTATATGGATGTGAAGCTTGGGTGGTAAATGCAGCAGCGAGGAGACGGTTGGAGGCAGTGGAGATGTCCTGTCTAAGGGCAATGTGTGGTGTAAATATTATGCAGAAAATTCGGAGTGTGGAAATTAGGAGAAGGTGTGGAGTTAATAAAAGCATTAGTCAGAGGGCAGAAGAGGGGTTGTTGAGGTGGTTTGGTCATTTAGAGAGAATGGATCAAAGTAGAATGACATGGAAAGCTTTATAAATCTATGGGGGAAGGAAAGAGGGGTAGGGGTCGCCCTCGAAAGGGTTGGAAAGAGGGGGTAAAGGAGGTTTTGTGGGCGAGGGGCTTGGGCTTCCAGCAAGCGTGCATGAGCGTGTTAGATAGGAGTGAATGGAGACGAATGATACTTGGGACTGACGATCTGTTGAAGTGTGAGCAGGGTAATATTTAGTGAAGGGATTCAGGGAAACGGTTATTTTCATTATAGTCGGACTTGAGTCCTGGAAATGGGAAGTACAATGCCCGCACTTTAAAGGAGGGGTTTGGGATATTGGCAGTTTGGAGGGATATGTTGTGTATCTTTATATGTGTATGCTTCTAAACTGTTGTATTCTGAGCACCTCTGCAAAAAACAGTGATAATGTGCGAGTGTGGTGAAAGTGTTGAATGATGATGAAAGTATTTTCTTTTTGGGGGTTTTCTTTCTTTTTTGGGTCACCCTGCCTCGGTGGGAGACGGCCGACTTGTTAAAAAAAAAAAAAAAAATATATATATATATATATATATATTATATATATAAATATATAATATAATATATATAAAATATATATATATTTTATATATATATATATATATATATATATATTATATATATATTAATATTATATATATATATATATATATATATATATTATATATATATTATATATATATTCAACAAGTCGGCCTAACAAAATTAAGAATTTTTCTATTTCTGGTACTCAAGAAAAATATAAGAATATCTTTTAATGTACTACAAAGTACTGTTATACAGTAAACAGTTCCCACCTAATATATACCAAAGATAAACTTTAAAATATACCTCGTATTCAATATACATACAGCATACAGATAACTGTCTATATACAGTACATTAAATCATTACATAATGCATTATGCAAACAAAAACATCAATGTTCACTGAGCTAAGCAAAATCTTTAATTAATATTTTATTATATTATGAAGCTCTGAGAAACTGTGGCACCAATATTGTCCTGGACAACACAAACACACGTAATAATACCAGCCCTATGCATGTCACAAAGTGATTAAACAACTGCTGACTTACCAGTCAGCAGTTGTTTAATCACTCTTAACACATCAGCTGTTTCCCACCAAGGCAGGGTGACCCAAAAGAAAGAAAAACCCAAAAATAAATAAACAAAAAAAAAAAAACCACTTTGATTACCATTCAACACTTTCACCATCACTCATACATAATCACTGTCTTTGCAGAGGCTCTTAGATACAACAATTTAGATAGTCACTCCAAACTGCCAATATCCCAAACCTCTCCTTCTAAAGTGCAGGCATTGTACTTCCCAAGTTTATTAAACACCCACTGGTTTAGTGTAGCGTATATTCGTGGTTAAACAACTACTGGGTTAGTGTATGCTCATAGTTGAACCATCAGTGGTTCATCAATGCTGATCATCAGCTATCGAGTGTTGTGTACCTGTGGTTTAACCCATAAACGGTCCAAGCAGATCTACGTTCACATGTGTAGTGCTCCAAAAGTAGATCTACGTTTTTTTTACATATTTTCAAATATAACAAAAAAAAAAGTAGATCAAAGTTTTTTTCACACATTTTCAAATGTAAAAAAGCAAAAAGGTCTACTTTTTTACATACTTTCAAATGTTGAAAAAACGTATACAGTGGACCCCCGCATAACGATATTATTTCAATCCAGAAGTCTGTTTGGGTGCCGTTATAGACCAAATTTGTTCCCATAAGAGATATTGTGAATTAGATTAGTCCGTTTCAGACCCCCAAAAATACACCTACAAAAGCACTTACAAAAATACACTTACATAACTGGTCAAGTTAGGAGCTGATCGTTATGCGGGAGTCCACTGTATATACGTTTGGACCGTTTTTGGGTTAACTGCTGTCATACTGAAGCTAGGTTTTCCTTTCCATTAAAAAACCAGATCACACTGTTCTATTTCTTTTAGTCACAGCTTTTCATATATCACACCATTCTGATGTTCAGTAATGTTTTTAACGCATGCAATACAAGTTAACGCCTCTTTACTACTGAACCCGGCAAGTGAAACTCAAGTGTGCTAACAGTTAATAATGTATTACACGCTCAAATTACAACAATTGCTTAGCACCAAGCACGCTGACTGAAGCAAAAACAGTGTGCTAATACCAGCTCCTCTCGTAGCAGCAGAGGGATGAACCAGTAGGGAAACACCTAGTAACCAACAGAGTACCCCGTGGTGGGGACGCTGCCCCTCACCTCCTCACCAACCGAACGCCCAAGGTGTCCACCAACATTACTCACCACCAGGCTGCAGCAGAGAGCAAAAATGGCACCAAGGTAGAAGAATTCAACTTCAACTATTTCTCCGTAATAAAGCGTCTCTGTACCTTCTTTTGTGACAGTGCTTCTTCCAGTATTTAATTTTATTTTCAATGTTATTTTTGTTAACTCTTGCATTTTTTCAGCTGGTGTGTTTTTTATACTTGCCGTGTGTCCCCCAACTGTGAGCTATTTTATCAGTGCCATTTTATGGACTCTGTTTACCTTCTTTACTGGAATTTTGCCCATTTTCCATTTTCACATATTAGTTGCAGTCTGTGTGTTTTTCCAGCCTTCATTTTATGTGCAGCTGAAATATATTATACCTACATATGTACTGTATATACATCTATGCAAATTGCCACTTGTGATAGCAAAAAGAAGAGCAATACTTATTTTCGGAATTTAAATCAACTAACGACTTAAAGTCTTTTGTTGTTAGTTTATGTTGGCTCAGCTTCCTGTGTTACACATACAATAACTGTACTTATTTCAATTATTTAACATGGCAAAACCTAAGGGTATCTCTTGTACCAGTGATACCTATATAACAAGAATATGCACTAGGTAACAGTCTCATTTTTTGCTATCACTTAAGTATTGTAAATGTTAGACTGTTTTCTAATAGAAACGGGTAAATTATAAGTTACTACTAGTTTCATACTGCCATTATTAGTTGATATCCATTTAACTATTCTGTTTATTTCTTGGTAGGATGACATACCCATGGAGTCGGAAAGGCTGATCCATGTAACTGCACGTCCCCCTAAGGTTCACAAGATAAACAAGATGCATCACAGACCCTCCCCTCCCAGTGCCGCTGCTGCTGCACCCTCCTCCCATACACAATCAAGTACACCATCAACCAAGGCTAAGGCCCACAAGACCCCCAAAAAGTACAGCCCCAAGAAGCATGGCTGGAAGAAGACCCTACGCAAGGATAAGGGAAAGGAAAAACTAAAGGAGAAGAGGGAAAGGCGCGATAAGAGGAATAAAGCTCTGCATCGGGCTATCGTTGCTAGGAAGCTGTGAGTTCACACTTCTCCCATCCGCTATATCAAAGGAGAATACGGAATTCAAAGAAAAAACCCAATACAGTAATTATAACCATTTACAGAGATTAAAACGGGGTGATTGAAACTCAAACAATAGGTGTAGCAGCCCTGAGACAACCAACCCATAACTTGAGCCACTGCACCAGTCACAAGACTTCACTATGGTGATCCACCTACAACAACGAGCCAGCAGTCTCAGGCTCGTTACATATCCAGGTCAAACCTCGATCACTCCATTTCAATCATTTATATTCATTCAATATAAATTTTTCAGCACATTTAGGGACATAACTACATTAAATATCTACAAAGAAAATACCTATACATTCCTTTACCATTTAAAAAGTAAACAGGTATGAATATTCATTTAAACTGACACCTGCTGAAGTGCATGACTGCACTGACACATACATCAGTGCAGTTAAGCAGCTGAGAATTACAAAACAAAAGGGAATTAAGGTCTTACAAGCACCACAATACAAAAATCTTTATGTGATACAGTGCATATGCCTTTGAGTTTAACTTTGTACCTTATTAAGAACTACCTATAATTAAGAAAAATATTATTTTTAATCTGTAGTTATAATTTGCAGGATTAAGTTATACATACACTACTATATAACATTTGAAACTAAATGCTCTTGACCTATATACCATATAAAAAAATACAGTAAAAATATTTATACTGTATGATATTTAAATAGTAAAGACAAATATGCAATATCATTCTTCAGTTTAATATATATATACATGTATATGTATGTATCACTTCTTAAGACTTCTTAAGCTTGTCTAACATAAATACTATATAATGAGTAAAGTTAAACAGACGATAAGCGCTGGGCTCGGTGGATGAATCAGTCGAGTGCTATTCTGTACTATAAATGTATGCTCGGCTCTGTACTGAAATATTCCATGCATACTGCTGGTTTTGATCTAATACTCAATGTAGAAGCATTTCATTCTGTATAATGTATTCTTATACATTAAGTGTATATATAGAGGCAGGAAAATAAGAGTATTTTGTGAACATAAACACATCAATGCAGAAATTTAATTGGAAACAAAAAATGCAATATGTGATTCTCATGATGAGGAAACAAGTGTCAAAAATTTGGTCACATAAGCTAAAACAAAATGCCAAGTCATGACAACCAGTACAAACTATCATAGTAAAAATCAATCACAGATATGATCTTTTGAAAGTATATGTTCTCTGCGCTCTTCCCAGCTCCACTTACTCCCCAAGAACCTTTTAGGCTACGTCAGCCAATTTTCACAAAACAATTACCACAGTTATTCCACTACTTGTTAATTGTAGATAACATTATTATTTAGAAACAATAATGCTTATAATCAAATATTTAACATCAGAGTTCATTATTCAGACAACTGCAATTACCTGCCTCGTCACATTAGAATTATCTGTACCGGCTAGTAATAATAGCTCCACATCTTTTTATATTTCAACGATAAATATATTTAAAAGATCAAGTAACCATGACATGGTATGTACTTATTGAATTCATCGACTAATCACATCGGTATAACCCTCATTTAAAGATTAATTGACCAAGATATACTACTGTACGTACTTAATGAATACAGTTTTTAAGAAGCGATCCGGATTTAAACCTGTGGTCTACCTGTTCCGAGACATGCAAGTATGTCATGCTCTTTGCCTTCAGCTCTCAGAATGGCCAGACTGTGGATTTGAATCATATTCAATTCTTAAAAAAAAAAAAAATGTTGAATTTCTCATTACTGAATGCATTGATCTATCATGTGAATCCTAGTAATATCTTCATTGAACTATTCACACTAAAACCAGCTGTCTTACACAAATATTCCATAATCACACACATGCCAAATCAAAAATACATTCCAGTTATGTGATGCCATGGGTGATGGTGAAACTCATTCGTAATATTCTCATCATTTTTTCTATGTACTCGTAAGCTTTTAAGAAAATTATACAGTATAAAAAATGTATAGAGACTTATTTAAAACAAATACATGGTCTGTCTTTGGTTCTCTTGACAGTTAGTTTAGGCTTAGGTAGGTGATATATGTTATAGGTGTCCAGTGTGGTGACATTTGGCCTTTGATGTTGCCCCCTTCACCACACGATACTTACCTTTGATGAAGGAAAAGGGGTTTCTAGCCTATAGTAGTTCCAGTGACCCCTGCAGAATATATTTATTTTGATTTTGGGGTGGTCATTGGACCCCACAACCATAGAAATCACCCTTGCAGCCATCTTTCTTAGCGCTTGAGTTGAGGTGCAGGTAGAAATAAATAATTATAATCAAACTATAAGACTGTAGTTTAAACATTCTACTTGAAATACATACTACATACTGTACTAAAATGCACTTTGTTATTTATCTGCAATATCTATGTTCTACAAGGACAACCATCTATCTTTTAAATCTAGACTAATGCCAGATCTACAAATGAATAATATATACTGTACTGGAGATATAACATCTGAAAGCCACTGGGAATAACACATCACAATATGTCTATAGTTGCCAAACTTTTGTCTCAACTCACACTCTCAGCCTGTAGTGTATAAGAATTGTGGCAGAAATGTTTCTTATTGTGCTACTAATGTCCGCCTAGATTCTACAATATGTTTGATAGAATACAAGGAATATTTCAAAGTGAAATACTTGGCCTTCCCAAACTACCTTTGTGAAGCCTCTCTCTTCTAGAAATAAGGTCTACTTAAGTAAGGCTACTCATCAACATCATCTAAGCTTGTGCAGACTAGTTCAGGCAGGTTCAGAGTAAACACTTTGATCTATATAGCAAAAATGTATAGAAGCCAGTGTTTTAAAGCTCCCTATTGTTCTTGGCATACCATACCTCGACCATGATTTGTATTGACTTACATGCTGATATGTCAAAAATTTTGGAGCAATAAAATGTCTTTCAATAAAAAGTGTTTAATTTTAACCCTTCATAATCTGCAAAAACTGTTGCAGATAATGACAAGTCACCATTAAGTTCCTGTGTAGCATAACTTTCTGTTATCAGTTAATGCTACCAGGGATTATAATCCCTACACATATATCGACTTTCAAGCAACACATTCAGCGAAGTGATTAGAAAAAAGTTTAATTATTAATTAAGGATACACAAGTAAATAATACCAGTATTCTATATCAAATTCCAAAACCAAACATTAATGAAATTTAATACAACGTACTCACCCAAGATTGATCCATTCGTATACCTCCTGCTTTACGATTCATAACAGAAAGAGTATAAGAAATTCATTCAAAATATCGAGAGAATTAGTCAGGAAACATCACCTGTCTTATCTACATTAAAGGTATACAGGCAGGCCCCACTTATACAGCAGGTTAAGTTCCAGGCTACTGCTGTAGAGCAAAAATCGCTGTAAAGTGAAACGTGGCCTTTTTTCCCCGTTTTCAAATGCACATAATAAGCTTGATAACGTCTTTGTACTATCATATATTAAATGCTAGGCCTAAAAAATGCATATACAGTACACACATTACTTACCTTAAAATATTTTTGTCCTTAGCCTATAATGAGTGGTGAATATATGTATTGTAGGAAATCTGAATAAAAGATTCTACAATCTGATCACTAAAATCTCTGACCACTTTATGGGCCCGACCTACATCCACTAGTAGGCCTCGCCCACATATGACCACATCTACTACTACTGCGTCATTCCACTCCTTCCACTGACCCCACAATACAAGGCTCCATTCTCATGTCTCTCAATTAGATTAAGTTTATGATGGGCAAAGCATCTCGATAAATATACGTACTGAGGTTCTGCATGCATCTTGTTTATAAGCATGTGCTTTTTGTCCATGGCTTCAAGGGTTGCAATGGTCCATAGGCCACTGACTTAGGCAAGCTGCAATGGCCTAGGGGCCATTGCAAACTTTCAACCCAACAATATTAGAGAGTTTAAAGGGCTGTTTCAACCTTTCACCTTGGTCATTACACAGAAAAAAAGTTCAAATTATGTTATGCGAAGGTCGTTAAGCAGGAATCATTCTACTTGCCACAAGGCATGAATAAATTGTAAATAAGCATTGGAAAATATGTACTGTACTCACCTCTTGCAGCCGTGGAATGTCTGTGATAGGTTCTGGGACAGAGCGTAGATAATTAAATATATCCATGTAGTCACACCTTTCCAAAACTCCTTCTTCGCACAACTTGAATATTGCAAGAGCGTACCGAAACAAGACCTGGAGAGGAAGAGTAATAAATCTCTAGTTTGAAAAGCAACTCTTCAAAGTGATGCACACAAGTCTGTTTAAAAATGCAATGCATTAATGTAAGGGAAGAAAAAGCACTATCTATTCCATCTCTTAAAACAAACAAAGGAATGTAGGTAGCTATAGAAGTTTTATGTAGGAGGGGCTTAGGTGTAAGGGATTTATCTTACAGCAATGCTACTATTATTTGGGAGGCAATTTGGGGACTGATGGACTTTTGGGAGACTGATGGGACTTTTGGGGCTTCAGCCTACCCCTTGGCACTGTTTCATGCACATTCTCATCTCTATCATACAAGGCCCAAACACAACCATGCCACACGATAAAAGCATACAATATGCAATAAAAGAGAGAACTCACTAATACCCAGAGCCCCAGTCTTGAAAATACATCTCTACAATAAGACAGTGATGGAAAGCCACTGCTCATCATAAATTATTATTATATTCAAAGGGTAATTCTAAACCTGTAAGGATTAGATAGCACCTGGGAAATGGGATGTAATCAGGTTTGATCCGAAAATAAGGATGGATAACTCCAACTCCTTGGATCGGGTCAGAAACAGGAATTCATAATGTATAAAGACCACAGTCAGGCATGACACCTTTCATGTGACTACAAAGGTTCACTGACAGTAAAAAATTAAATACACAGGAGCAGAGGAAGGATTTAATAATAAAAGCTCTACAACGTGTGAAATACTGTCAAAATAAAAGCTTTCTCTATACAGTGGTACGGATTAATCTAATTTACATTATTCCTTGTGGGAACAAATTCGTTCGGTAACGGCACTCGAACAGCCTTTTGGAACGAATTATGGCCGAAACTCGGGGTACCATTGTACTTGTTTAGATGCAATGCCAAGGAAGGTGTAGGGGCAAGGGAAGGTATAAAGCCTCTTCAAAAATTCCATCAGCCTCTCAAATCAAGTAATACTACACAAACACCCACACACAGGAGAAAGAAACTTATGACATTTCTGTCTGACTTGGACTAGTTAATGGTCCAAGTCAGACCAAACTTCATCGTTAGATTCTTTCTCCTATGTGCAGGTTATTTGTGTATTGTTCCAGTCACATTAGCATGCCTTTTTATTCTTTTCAAAATAATACTGCTGCTTCAAGACAAGTCCTCTAACTCTGCTTTTTCAACAGATTACTGCCTCTAAGCCCCTCTTATATAAAACTTCTGAAGCCTTCCCTATCTGTGTCTTCCATCAGGTGTGATGTGACTTTACAAACCACGAGGTTTACTCAACACTTACCTTGGAGCCCTCGTATAAAAAGGAATCCCATATTGTGAGGTAGGTAATTGGAGGAATGATATCAATGTAGACGCACAGGAACCAGTTGAAGGTAAACAGTGATATATCGAGCCCATGATGTTCTAGATGGGCGTTCAGTCGAGGCAGCTTTTCAGCAACTAAATCCTTTAGGACTCGCTGTAATTGGAAAAATGAAAAGCCATTTGAAATTTTGAGACGCCACACATTAACAAATTTTTAATCAAGAAATTTAATGTACAATTGCTTTAGTCCTCATCCATTAATATGTGGAGTGGATGTCAGCTTGTAAACAAGGCTACAAGCACCATGTAAATTTTACAGACAAAATAAAAATTTGACTTCATTGCACACACACACTGAAGGGTTTATATGTTACAGTTTGGAGAGACATTTAAATTGTGAAGTCCATGCACTTCTGGAAAGACAGCTATTGAATGATGGTAAGTGTTTCCTTCTTTTGGACCCCCTTAATATGATGAGTAATAGACAATGTGGTAACAAATATATGTACAATTTTTTTTCAACATGCCGGCCATCTCCCACCGAGGAAGGGTGATCCAAAGAAGAAAAACACTTTCACCATCATTCACACATAATCACTGTCTTTGCAGATACGACAGTTCAGATGTCACTCCAAACAGCAAATACTGCAAACCCCTCCTTTAAAGTGCAGACATTGTACTTCCCACTTCCAGGACTCGAGTCTGACTACCCAGTTTCCCTGAATCCCTTCACAAAATATTGCCCTGCTCACATTCCAACAACCAGTATTTTGTTTCAGCACAGAACTACATTAACAAAATTCTATCACTACAAAATATTATCTTTCAACATTGTACAGGAGAGTGTAAAGATTCTAACCTGGATTTTTTTTTATGTGAACCTCAGAAACAAGAAACTTAAAGCAAAATAACTTTCCTTTTACATCGGTTGTCCACTACCAAGGTAGGGTGACACATGCAAAAAAATAAATAAATAAATAGAATGCCTCACCATTCATTCAACAGCTGTGTTGTGAGAAATGCACCAGGATCACAATTTAACTGACCTTTCAAAGTGCAACATCTTCACCCATCATACAATGTACAGTGGAACCTCAAAAATCGAACTGCTCCCAACACAACCAATTATGTAAGTGTATTTTTGTAAGTGCTTTTATAAGCGTATTTTTGAGGGTCTGAAATGGACTAATCTAATTTACATTATTCCTGATGGGAATAAATTCATTCGGTAAAGGCACTCGAACAGCCTTCTGGACCGAAGAAAGTTCGATATTTGAGGTTCCACTGTACATACTTTTCACCTCAAGAACTCAAATGTGTCTAACCAGTTTTCCTGAATATCTATATAAATGTTTCTTGTTTACACATGAACAGCATGTCAAATAAATAATAATTATAAAAATAAACAAAATAATATTCAGAAATGTTCACATATTTTAAATATAGGGGTTTGGGATATTGGCAGTTTGGAGGGATATGTTGTGTATCTTTATACGTATATGCTTCTAAACTGTTGTATTCTGAGCACCTCTGCAAAAACAGTGATAATGTGCGAGTGTGGTGAAAGTGTTGAATGATGAAAGTATTTTCTTTTTGGGGATTTTCTTTCTTTTTTTTTGGGTCACCCTGCCTCAGTGGGAGACGGCTGACTTGTTGAAAAAAAAAAAATGGTACGTATAGAAGAAGTGAATGTTTTCAGATATTTGGGAGTTGACGTGTCAGCGGATGGATTTATGAAGGATGAGGTTAATCATAGAATTGATGAAGGAAAAAAGGCGAGTGGTGCGTTGAGGTACATGTGGAGACAAAAAAACGTTATCTATGGAGGCAAAGAAGGGAATGTAAGAAAGTATAGTAGTACCAACACTCTTATATGGATGTGAAGCTTGGGTTGTAAATGCTGCAGCGAGGAGACGGTTGGAGGCAGTGGAAATGTCCTGTCTAAGGGCAATGTGTGGTGTAAATATTATGCAGAAAATTCAGTGTGTGGAAATTAAGCGAAGGTGTGGAGTTGAGGTGGTTTGGTCATTTAGAGAGAATGGATCAAAGTAGACCAACATGGAGAGTGTATAAATCTGTAGGGGAAGGAAGGCAGGGCAGGGATCGTCCTCGAAAAGGTTGGAGGGAGGGGGTAAAGGAGGTTTTGTGGGTGAGGAGCTTGGACTTCCAGCAAGCGTGCATGAGCGTATTTGATAGGAGTGAATGGACACGAATGGTATTTGGGACCTGACGAGCCGTTGGAGTGTGAGCAGGGTAATATTTAGTGAAGGGATTCAGGGAAACCGGTTATATTTATATAGCCGGACTTGAGTCCTGGAAATGGGAAGTACAATGCCTGCACGTTAATGGAGGGGTTTGGGATATTGGCAGTTTGGAGGGATATGTTGTATATCTTTATACGTATATGCTTCTAAACTGTTGTATTCTGAGCACCTCTGCAAAAACAGTGATAATGTATGAGTGAGGTGAAAGTGTTGAATGATGATGAAAGTATTTTCTTTCTTTTTGGGTCACCCTGCCTCAGTGGGAAATGGCCGACTTGCTAAAAAAAAAAAAAAAAAATGCATTTGGTCTACAAATTCCATTCGCAATAATAATACAGTTTGGAGGGACTTATAAACTGTCATATCTGAGCGCCTCTGCAAAGATAGTGATTATGTATGAGTGATGGTGAAAGTGTTGAATGGTGATGAATATTTTTTTCTTTTTGGGTCACCCTGCCTTGGTGGGTGCCGATGTGTTAAAAAAAATATATATATCTACTAGCAACTTACTTAGCACACTGCCTAACTATATATCATCATGAAACTTTGCTCTAAAATTACTTTAAATATCAAAAAGTTGAATAAATTCCTAACTGAACGTACTTGATCAACCTGAGAACCCAGGAGGTTTTTGCTATAGTAATCAGGCGGCATCAGGTACTCCACAATGTACACAAGACACCAGAAGGCATCTTCTTCATTAAGGAATAATAAGGCTATGGCAGCTAAACGGTTCAGACCCTGGAAATGGAGATAAAGAGTGAAATTAACAAATAACATTTCATTTTTCAAATAAAAAAAAAATTCTTGGCTGCAGAACCTTGCTTCTATCATAAGTAAATGATGCAGTGGCAGTTTATGTAGATGTAACCAAGATTATTATTATATGGCTGAGACTGCTCCTGTTTGATCTGTCAAAGACATGTGTTCCATACGGCCATTCATAACACTTACATTTTCCCAAGATGAAAGTACAGTGGACCCCCGCATAACGATCACCTCCGAATGCGACCAATTATGTAAGTGTATTTATGTAAGTGCGTTTGTATGTGTATGTTTGGGGGTCTGAAATGGACTAATCTACTTCACAATATTCCTTATGGGAACAAATTCGGTCAGTACTGGCACCTGAACATACTTCTGGAGTGAAAAAATATCGTTAACCGGGGGTCCACTGTACAGGAGGATATGTTGCAAGGTGACAGGACAAGAGGGAGAAAGAGAACATTGGAACAATGACAAGACTGATGCCTCAGCTGGGCTTCATGCCACAGATGGCACTGGAAATAAAACTGGGTTGTTCTTTTAAGGTTCTAAAAGTCTGATAAGGCAAACACTATTGCCAGTCTTGGGCCACCTGCTACTAACCAGAATGCCTTCCTTTTCCACAAAGTTACAACATGCAGCTTGATGTCCTATGTATAAACAGAATGCTATTACTAGATTTTTTGAAAAAATTGTTTAGTAACGTAGGTTAATCTGGAGGCTCCCAGGACAATAATGCCAGTAACCAAGATAATAAACACACTTTACAGATTAAATATTAAATCATCACTACCTGACAATAACCAACGTGAAGGTTATGACGTGAGAAGGCCAGCAACACCCGCCTCAGCCTGGCGATCCCATCCGAGTGAAAAGACTCGTAGTGGCGGTTGTTAGGCAGAGTCCGCAGCAGGTCCAACTCAATCTGAAAGACAACCTTATAGTCAGTAATATACAATCACTTAGAATTTTTATAAACAATTTTGAACAGAATATTACTTCAATATGCTGAAAACCTGCTACTGCCACTGTATAATATTAAAGTTAACAATTTATGTAAGGGAACTGGGCTCTGGTGGCCTGGTGGTTAACGCTCTCACTTCACACGGCGAGGGCCTGGGTTCGATTCCCAGCCAGAGTAGAAACATTGGACGTGTTTCTTTCAACCTGTTGTCTATGTTCCCCATCAGTAAAATGGGTACCTGGGTGTTAGTCGACTGGTGTGGGTCGCATCCTGGGACACTGACCTAAGGAGGCCTGGTCACAGACCGGGCCACGGGGGCTTTGACCCCCGGAACTCTCTCCAGGTAAACTCCAGGTAAACTGATTCCTTGACCTCACTGAGGCAAGACCACCATAATATGGTGAGTACTGTCTTCAGTACTCACACAATTTACTTTCATGATGTTCTGAAATCCCCCAAATGTTATTTTATGATTTACAATTTTTGAAAATTTACTGCTCTATCATTATCTAAAAATTCATGTATTACATTATTCAGAATTTAATGATGTAGAATTATCTAAAATTTTATGATCTACCAAACACTTATCAAGGATTTTATGATCGGCATTAAATAAAAACTGAACTGAACTAAATTACCCAAAACAAATCCATCTAAACTCTATAATAAACAGGAAGATACATCTATATCTTCTTCTTTCTTTCAACACACCGGCCGTATCCCACCGAGGTGGGGTGGCCCAAAAGGAAAAACGAAAGCTTCTCCTTTTACATTTAGTAATATATACAGGAGAAGGGGTTACTAGCCCCTTGCTCCCGGAATTTTAGTCGCCTCTTACAACACGCATGGCTTACGGAGGAAGAATTCTGTTCCACTTCCCCATGGAAGTAAGAGGAAATAAACAAGAACAAGAACTAGTAAGAAAATAGAAGAAAACCCAGAGGGGTGTGCATATATATATGCTTGTACATGTATGTGTAGTGTGACCTAAGAGTAAGTAGAAGTAGCAAGACGTACCTGAAACCTTACATGTTTATGAGACAAAAAAATGGACACCAGCAATCCTACCATCATGTAAAACAATTACAGGCTTTCGTTTTACACTCACTTGGCAGGACCATAGTACCTCCCTGGGTGGTTGCTGTCTACCAACCTACTACCTAGGATTAATTTCATTTCCATTATTTCTTATGGGGAAAATGGTTTCGAGTTTCGTGAATTTCGACTTTCGGCAGGCTCTCTGGAATGGATTAATCACAAAACTCGGGGGTCCATTTTATAAAGATACACAACATATTCATCCAAATTGCCAATATCCCAAACCCCTCCTTTAAAGTGCAGGCATTGTACTTCTCATTTTCAGTACTCAAGTCCGGCTATATAAAAATAACCAGTTTCCCTGAATCCCTTCACTAAATATTACCCTGCTGACACTCCAACAGCTTGTCAGGTCCCCAAAACCATTCACTCCTGTCTAACACGCTCACGCATGCTTGCTGGAAGTCCAAGCCCCCTCGCCCACAAAGCCTATATATCTTATCTGTAATTACTATTATTTCCAAGAGAGTATGTAATATTATAAGCATGTAGTGATGTACAGTATTTGGCTAATGACAAATAAGTTCTAGCTTCTTATGAGGTAACTGTATTTCTAATCATGGACAGTGAGGTAATCATACTTGTTTGGCTGCAGGGTCGAGCACAGACGTTGTGCGCTGTGCAAGGAGATCTTCATAATAATTGGACGGAATCGCAGCTTTCAGAGGAGCAACCTGTGTATCTATTAGTAAGCGCCACACCTTACCCTAAAACAGACAAAAACAATGATTTACTTTATGCATTATGCCTCAAAAATAATTTTTACTGCTAACTCTAAACTTGCCATACAACCAGTCCTAACTTAACTGTGATGTATTCCAAGTTACGAACATCCAAGTTACAATAGTCCACACTTATGAACAGGGCACTTAATTACTGTAATTTCTATTTTTAACACACTGGCCATCTCTCATTGAGGTAGGGTGACCTGGAAGAGAAACACTTTCACCATCATTTATACTATCACTGTCTTGCCAGAGGTGCACAGATACAACAATTCAATGTCCCTCCAAACAGCAAATATCCCAAAATGTTTAATAAATGCTTCTGATTTTCCATAAATAAACCTTTCCTACTACCAACTTATTCATATCAATGTCGATACTTTAAATATTGTTCAGTCTTTCTATAAAGAGAGATTTAGCCTCAGAAATAAAATGAAAAGCCAGGGGAGCCATAGGTCATTTCAAACAATGGTGGACACTGTGTTCAAAATTTCAATGTTCGATAAATATTTTTTTAAAAATTTATTGTCCTGGAAAGCCCCACCCAATTATTATTACAGACTCTTAAACTGATGTTGGGGCACATGCCTCTATCCATCCATCAATCCATCCATACATCTATCCAGCAATCCATCTATCCAGTCACCCTCCCTCCCCTCTTGTAGTTGTCAGTGTAAACAAGACATCAATTGCAGCTAGCCAATAATTTGGAACACTATCTGGCCAGAAAATACACTTCATCTTCATTACAATTTTGTAGGGAGGCAGCAAATAAAAATAAAGCATTTGCATTCTAATTATAAAATTAACATTTTTCTAGTGAAAAACAAATGAAGGTACAAGTAAATGAATAATGCAGACATAGTTGCTCAGGACATATATACTTTATAATGACAGATTACTGTTAGTGGACACCCAAGCAGGCAGCCAACCTTGTACTGGTACGGAATACCTCCCCGTATGAGGTACTTAAGGTCAGTGCAGTGTGGTAACTCCTTAGCACTGGTTCCTGCCAGGAAACTCTCCCACTTGTTCTCCCATGAACTTCCACCAAGCTGCAACAAATACATGGACCAGATTACATTTGCCACCCAATATAATGGAGGGTATGAGCCACATGTGACTGAGACGCACTGCCAGAGGAAGTCGTGGATTATATAAATTAGTAAACCAATGTGGGTTGTTTAGCAGAAAATAGGGAAGGCTAACTCCATTTATGGATTCAAATGTAGATATGACAAATGTTATGACATTACTCAACCATCACATTACAAACATTAGTAGGGGAATACAATGAGGTGACTAAAAACACACACAAATATACACAAAATACACACACACACACACACACACACACAAGCTGTGAACTGACCCCTGCAACCACATATAGGTAAGTACACAAACACACACAACTGGTTATAAGATCTAATACAAACTACATTTTGAAGTGACAACACTAATTAAAAGCAGAAAAACAAGCAACAAAAATGTGACGTTATATTACCTGCACCTGATGGGCCAGAGCTTGGGACTGCTTCTGGAGGTATGAGGCTCTTGACTGTAAGCTTTCACCATTGGGTGCAGTCGTGCAAAATCCATACTCGTCATACTCTCGACCCTTGTTTTGTATCACTCTGTAGATATCAAAGTTTTCTTGAAAGATTCAAATATTGCATTTGCAAGTTCCAAAGCTTTTCAAGCAACACCTACAGCTCTCTCACACATCACATACACCACCCTTCAGTTTACACCTACCATCCGACTTACGACCTACTCGACTTACGACCACTCGACTTATGACCGTGTTTTTTATGCCAAATTTCTGGGAAATAAACAACTATTTGTGTTGTACACAGTGTTTATCCTAAACCTTACAGTATAAAATACAGTACTAACAGCATAAAAAGTAAAGTAAAACATGAAATACCAAAATAAAACAAGAAAATAAAGTCATTACAAAAATGTTTTGTTGATATTCAGTAGTAAAGTTCGACTTACGACCATTTCGACTTACAACCAGTTTCTTGGATCCGAACTCGGTCGTAAGTCGGATGGTAGGTGTACTTATCACCTATTATAACAAAAAGAGAAATGGTGAGATATCTATTTATCTATGTGGAGGTGCTAAACTCAAAGGGAGATAATACAGTGCATGGGGAATGGGAGGTAATCAGGTCTAAGACAGACCAACACATCATTACAAGTTTCCTCTCCTAAGTAGGGATTATTTGTGATTTTTTCAGCCACAGTATTATGACTTTTTATTCTTTAGGGTAGGTAGTTTCAATTCCTTACACTGAGAACCCTTTATGGCAATGAGGCACCATAACTGAAGGGAGGCAACAGTGCACCTTCCTTTCACATAACTCAGTGGTGTAGTCAAGAAAAACTTAGCACAAGTAATTATATCTGGTACTTAATTTATCATTAAAATGTGAGCTCTTTCACTGATACTTTAACACAGTGAGGGACAATATTGTTCATGCCAGTTTATAGAGAAAAAATTAGCTTGTGTATGTTTTCAATGACACATGGTACACTGTTACCCAAGCCAGCAAATACAGGTTAGTGTGAACCACTATGACAAACAATGCTCACATTGTAGCTTGGAACACTGATAAGTTAGTTAATAAGGCTGGCCCCATGGCCAGGTTCCAGTAGAAGGACTCGTGAGACTCATCAGAGGTATACTGAACATCAGAGCAAGCTAACAGGATCTAAACAAAAGGGACTTGAATACAATGTTGCTGCAAAGAAATTTCTGATGGAAACTGTGTGTTTGTCCTCATATAAAATGTTCCAATTCTTAGCCTGACAACTACTTTCTCCTTGAAAAAATAATTTACGGCAGGATATTATACTGCATTTATGCAGGAGAGGCATTATTCATCTAATGAAGGCCATATACAAATTATTTTGTCAAGGCAAAACCTATACACACTGCAATCACTGGAGTACTGAAACAATGATTGTTATCCTAATGCTCGTAGTGTACCTGAGGTCCGGTGGACCCTGAGCCTTGACCGCATCGTGTAGCAGTTGTGACACAATGGATGGGTCATGTTGAGTCGACTGAGGTGAGTGCAACTCGTTCAGCAACAGCAAGTATTTACTCTGAATCTGATAGAACTTGGCTTCCCACTCACTCGACTCTCTGCAATGAAATATGGTTAGGTTAGCAACATTTAATTGTAAGAAAATTTATGTAAAATTAACAATAATACATCACTCTGCATTTCCTTATATTCCTCAAAGTTTCTTTCCCATATTTTCAACTATGTGAAAATTCATATTTACTTGGAAACTTATACAGTGGACCCCCAGGTTTATGATATTATTTCATTCCAGAAGTATGTTCAGGTGCCAGTACTGAATGAATTTGTTCCCATAAGGAATATTGTGAAGTAGATTAGTCCATTTCAGACCCCCAAACATACACAGTACAAACGCACTAACATAAATACACTTACATAATTGGTCGCATTGGGAGCTGATCGTAAAGCGGAGGTCCACTGTACTACTACATACTTCTCTTCTTCCCATCCCTTTCCAGCTTGCCTATAAAGCCTCTCCTCACTTAACGACGGAGTTCCGTTCCTAAGACCACGTCGGTAAATGAATTAGTCGCTAAACGAGGAGCATACTATAATGGTAGTGGGTTTGTGTCAACTACCTTTGAAATTGTTTTAATATCACCTCTGCACCAATTATAACATTTTTTGGTATATTCTTAAATGTTTGTACAGTGGTGTACTGTATATTGTAATAAACAGAATAGAGGAAATCAGCTCTAATATACATTATTTAAGTACGTATAATGGTCAGAGAGCCCGTCATAAGTCCGAGATGTTAGTAAATGAGTACATCACCAAGTGAGGAGAGGCTGTATATACTGGCTCCCTCTCTCCCTCTTTTGTGTTAGTGTGACTTAGTAAATGGTCCAAGTCAGACCGAAACGTCATCGCAAGCTTCTCTCTCCTATGTGTGGGTTATTTGTGTGGAAGACCAATAGTCTGTCCCTATATCTTTTTTTTAGCTTTAAAATTACAAAGTCCTTTGTGTTCAAAAGTATTTTACCTACTCATGCTGTCTTCAAAACAGTCTTAATAGTCATGTATGAGTAAACAATCTCTGTGAATGGTTTGTATGACGGGGATCCGAATAGATGAGGTAAACAATCACTGGCATTATTGACACTTGCATGCTCCGAGCCCTGACCGTTGTTCCTATCTTGGTAAGCTATTTTTTTTTTTAACAAGTCGGCCGTCTCCCACCGAGGCAGGGTGACCCAAAAAGAAAGAAAATCCCCAAAAAGAAAATACTTTCATCATCATTCATCTCTTTCACCTCACTCACACAATCCTCTTTTTTTTTTTCTATTTAAAACATTACAATACAAGGTGGAAACTATATTAAAAGGTACACAAAATGAGTTAAATCACAAATAATCACTGTTTTTGCAGAGGTGCTTAGAAGCATATACGTATAAAGATACACAACATATCCCTCCAAACTGCCAATATCCCAAACCCCTCCTTTAAAGTGCAGGCATTGTACTTCCCATTTCCAGGACTCAAGTCCGGCTATATAAAAATAACCGGTTTCCCTGAATCCCTTCACTAAATATTACCCTGCTCACATTCCAACAGATCGTCAGGTCCCAAATACCATTCGTCTCCATCACTCCTATCAAACACGCTCACGCACGCCTGCTGGAAGTCCAAGCCCCTCGCCCACAAAATCTCCCTTACCCCTTCCTTCCAACCTTTTCAAGGATGACCCCTACCCTGCCTTCCTTTCCCTACAGATTTAAATGCTCTCCATGTCATTCTACTTTGATCCATTCTCTCTAAATGACCAAACCACCTCAACAACCCCTCTAAGTCCATACGTATATTCTCAGGGCTTAATCACAACTACATGGCAGCAAAGTGATCAAGAGAAATGATATTGGTGCTTTCAAACACCCTTTTATCTTAACAATCTGCCATCCCTTCCTTAGGACACAAGAGCTATCCTGGCCTAATGGAGAGCAATGAACATTAGATATAACATTCTGTTTTGAGTGTAGTAAGTCCCATTAATGCCACAAGATTTATAATTAGAAACAAGACAAATTGTAGGGTCATAACGAGAAGGAAGTAGACACACATACGTGATCAACTTCTGCTCTCTTTCTGACGAGAGTTTTCTGAGAAGATTCAGTTCAAGAATTTCCTTGTTTAAAAAGCTGTTTTGGCATCTGTAAGCTTCAAGGGTATCTTTAAGAGTATCCTCCTCTGTGTCTGAAGTCTGCGTTCCTCGGGTGGTTGATTCCAGAGTCTTAAAAACCAACGTGGACGGAAGAGATACAGGTCGACTACGTGCATTATCATCAACTTGATGAGTCAGGCTGACAATAGCCTTATCCTTTGCCTGAAATAGTAAATCTTGGAAAAATTTCTTATGTACCACCTTCTGTACATTATGTATACCCCTCACCATACTTTATGTATATCACTTGTAAACATTATGTATATCACTATCCACAATGTACATAACTCCCAGAATACATGTATAAAAAAATATATACATTTTTTTATAACATGCCAACTATTCCCCACCAAGACAGGGCGACCTAAAATAAGAGGGAAGATTATTTTTTTTTATTAATACATCAGCCATTTGCCACCAAGGCAGGGTGGCCCAAAAAAGAAAAACCCTCATCATCATTTACTCCACCACTGTCTTGCCAGAGGCATGCTTGCACTACAGATATAAAACTGCAACATTAACACCTCTCCATCAGAGTTAAGATCATTTCCAGTAATTCATTCAATCAATGTTTTGCCAGATATGTGCTGACATCACAGCTCAGAAAGCCCTCTGAACTGCAGTGTCCCCACCTTCCTTGAGTGCAAGTGCTGCACTTCCCACCTTCAGGACTCGAGTCCCCTAACTGATTTCAATGGATCCCCATCATAAATATTGCCTTTTTCACACTAGCACATCAAATCATAACAAGCTTGCTGGATGTCAAAGCCCCTAGCACTTAAAATCTGTAACCCTTCCCTCTAACCTTACCTGGAACAACCCCTACTCCTTCCCTCCACCATAGATTAATAACACTCCTAGTCATCATTTTCTGCTCCATCTTCTCTAAATATCCAAACCACTTCAACAAACTCTCCATAGCTCTCTGAATAATACTTTTAGTAACCCCTACACCTAATCTTCAAACTTAGAATTTTTTTTTTTTTTTCAACAAGTCGGCCGTCTCCCACCGAGGCAGGGGGACCCAAAAAAGAAAGAAAATCCCCAAAAAGAAAATGCTTTCATCATCATTCAACACTTTCACCATACTCACACATTATCACTGTTTTTGCAGAGGTGCTCAGAATACAACAGTTTAGAAGCATATACGTATAAAGATACACAACATATCCCTCCAAACTGCCAATATCCCGAACCCCTCCTTTAAAGTGCAGGCATTGTACTTCCCAAATTCCAGGACTCAAGTCCAACTATGTGAAAAAAAACCGGTTTCCCTGAATACCTTCACAAATTTTTACCCGCTCACAACTCCAACAGAATCGTCAGGTCCCAAGTACCATTCGTTCTCCATTCACCACCTATCTAACATCTCACACAACGCTTGCTGGAAGTCCAAGCCCTCGGCCCACAAAAACTCCTTACCCCCCTCTCTCCAACCCTTTCGAGGACGACCCCTACCCCGCTCTTCCCCTATAGAATTATATGCTTTCCATGTCATTCTACTTTGATCCATTCTCTCTAAATGACCAAACCACCTCAACAACCCCTCTTCTGCCCTCTGACTAATACTTTTATTAACTCCACACCTTTTCCTAATTTCCACACTGAGAAATCTAATAGGAAAACAAAGAACTACAGTAAGCAAGAATGAAAGTACTGTACTATAATGCAATTTTAATAATATTCCCTTGTATTAGTTTGTGTGAGATAACACACTAAAAGAGTACGTACTTATAACAAGAGAGGAACAAAGAATTTTTGAATACCTCAATTAGACAATAGAGCATAGAGAGCTTTTCATTAAGATGGTCCTGGTGAAGCTGGTTATCGGAGAGTTGCTCTGTGAGCCGAGCAACATCGTTAGTTAACTTGTGATTGTCGTGTTCCAAGTCTACAATATGGCGGTCTTTTCCACGCAGTATCTCCAAAACATGTTTGTCTGTTAGATCACTTCGGTCCAAACTTATCCTGGATTTGGAAAAAACATTTGTGGGAATTAAAGCTGAACCTTCTCAATGACAAAAACTAATACCTTGATCAATACAAGATTAGAAGTTAATGAAGAGAATTTGTTCTGTAATAATTAAAACTAATGTACACTTTTTTTTTTTTTTCAACAAGTCGGCCGTCTCCCATCAAGGCAGGGTGACCCAAAGAGAAAGAAAATCCCCAAAAAGAAAATACTTTCATCATCATTCAATACTTTCATCTCACTCACACATAATCACTGTTTTTGCAGAGGTGCCCAGAATACAACAGTTTAGAAGTACATATATACGTATAAAAATACACAATATATCTCTCCAAACTGCCAATAATGTACACATACAGTTAGTATTAAGTACTGACAAAACTGAATGTTTTACAGTCCAAAATTCCTGGGTCCAAGAGAAGGCGAGCTCCGATTCTTTGGATTAAGAGCTTTTCACCAGCATTAAGGCACCTATCTTAAAGGGTTCCCACCTCAAGAATTTAAATTCAGCCAACCAAGCTCATGGTTCAATATCATAAATAATCTTTACATTCATTCTGCATGACCTATCCCTTTTATGGTCACAGTCATTACATCCAACAAGTCTATAATGAATCCAGTCCTAAGCATATATACAGAACAGGTGTCCCTGGCTTTATATAGTAGATAGGTTCCAGGTCCTGGTGCATGGTAGCTATACTAAACTTTATCAGGCTTTATCAGTACTTTGTGAACCACATCAATAGCATACAACGAAAGTATATTTCATACAGAATTACCGATAAAATGGAGACACTGTATAATAGCAGTCACAAAGTTAACTAACATAAAGAGCTAAATGAAGTCATGTCAAAATTGGACCCTTCTGATAATAGCTTGACCTACAGTGTAGCTTTTTCCTGTTGCAGAGCATCAAGTTCCTTCTGCAACAGATCTATAACTTCTCGAGATGCTTCATATTCGTCCTGAGTAGCAGTCAGGTCTTCCTTGGCAGATGTTAACTCTCGCTGAAGCTATAAGATTAAATACGCTGCATTAAACTTAGCAAGGCAAGAACCTGAGTCAGACGTCCTCACAGTAAAATATGAAATTAAGTGCAAAATAAATTACAGCATATTTAACGTCTTCACTTATATACAACTACATAATAAGTTTGTCTTTGATAAATTTATTAAGTTATATAAAAGTTACGTTAGTAATTAAATTGTCAAGTAAACTATTATACAGTATTTGATGATACAAATTAATTACACAGAAGCACAGATTTAATATTTTTCACACACAAATCTTTCAACAAACCGGCTGTCTCCCACCAAGGTAGGGTACCCCAAAAAAAGAAAAACACAGAAATATATTCAAACTAAATCTCTGAAAATGGTACCTCTTCACATCTTCTACAAGTAACTTTTGAATGTAAGTTGGGAGCATCAAACCCATCTTTTCCTTCCAAAGATGCAGATCGTCTTCCACGAAATGAGCTACGGAGCTTTCTCCCGAGACTTCCAAGACTCAGGTCATCAGTTGGAGAAGCAAGAGGGCTATGCCTGGTTGCCTGAGGACTAGTTGGAGACTTGGAAGCTGAATCAAAAGAAAGTAGACAGTTTTAATATATAAAATACCAGTGTTGCAAACTTACAAATGTCGAGCTATGAACATCCTCAATCATGAATGGGCTACTATACTTAAGAACCAACTTATAAATAAGTTGCAATCCAGTCGTTCCACCTTAAAAATTAACTATTTGTAACATGGAACATTTATATGTGTATTTATATGACTAACGATAAATCAACAACATAAATGTATAACCCAGTAGCTGACAACAAAACTTACACTAACTCTTGAGAATTAAGAACTGCTAAAACAACCTTTTAGTGATTAGATTCATTACTATGCAGTACATACTTAAGAGCTAGCTGACCAGCTCCCGTTGGAGCACCTGGGAAAGAGGTGTTGAACTAGGGATGGCAACAAGGATAACCAGGTCTTGGAAGCAGGCTACTGGTATCGAGACAAGATGTGTTTGATTCCAAGGACAAGAGGATTAACAGAGAGGATAAGTAGAACTAGGTGAAACTGGCTCCTTGGGAAAACTTAAAAGAGCGGAGATCCTAGAGCTCATTCTAGGATGGCCAAGTGGCAATCAATCTAAATTCATTTAATCAAGTTCTATAAGAAAATACTCCAGACAAATATATTCAATACATAAATGTACCATACTGTTATATGATATGCCCTGGAGATATAATAACCATCATTAATAAGGACCTACTAACTAAGGGCAAGGCTGTACCCACATGATCACCTACCAAGTTACTAGCCAAACCCAACTTTACTTAACCTGGCCGAGGAATGACCACATCATTAACAATGCCGTAACTTCCTTCTTTCTTTCAACACACCGGCCGTATCCCACCGAGGCGGGGTGGCCCAAAAGGAGAAACGAAAGTTTCTCCTTTAACATTTAGTAATATATAAGGAGAAGGGGTTACTAGACCCTTGCTCCCAACATTATTAGTCCCTCTTACAACACGCATGGCTTACGGAGGAAGAATTCTGTTCTACTTTCCCATGGAGATAAGAGGAAATAAACAAGGACAAGAACTAGAAGAAAATAGCAGAAAACCCAGAGGGGTGTGTAGGTGTGTAATATATATATATATATATGCTTGTACATGTATGTGTAATGTGACCTAAGTGTAAGTAGAAGTAGCAAGACGTACCTGAAATCCTGCATATTTATGAGACAGACAAAAGACACCAGCAATCCTACCATCATGTAAAACAATTACAGAGTTTCGTTATACACTCACTTGGCAGAATGGTAGTACCTCCCTGGGTCGGTTGCTGTCTACCAACCTACTACCTTTAATGCCAAAACTATCATGCACATTATCTCTCTACCACACTGAAGCTAATTTTAATTTTTAATTAAATTTGCAAATGTCAATCATGTGTTTTTATTACCAAATTTACCTTTCTGAGATGAGAGTTAGCATCTATTATTAAAATCAGTTTACTTACATTCATTATTTGTTTTAAATATCTTGCGCTGTGTATTAGGAAGTAAATTTGACAGGGCTAATCGAGCATCTGATAGTGCAAATGATGGCCGAGGGGGTAGATCACTCATCCCCGAGTCAGGTCGTGTCATTGGTGTCAGGAGGTCGTAATGAGGATCTGGGGTAGGAACATCACTCTTTTTGTCATCTTGAAGTAGTCCTGTCTCTGGTCGCTGCAATTTCCAAATCACGTTACTCAGAAATCACGAAAACTGTACCTTTGATTAACACACTCCATGCAACCAGAACCATTTATTATTGATGTTACACTACTGTATTCCTACAGTATTTTCCTTTCTACCACATCAGCCATCTCCCATTAAGGTAGGGTCATCTAAAATAAGGAAACACGTTCACCATCATTCATTCAAGAGCTGCCTTGTCAAACAAAGATATTGCCCCATATCTGTCACTGGACAAATGCAAGATTGAAAACAATTTATCACCTTTCACATTATGGAACACTTAAAAAAACTGGCAGAATTCTTCACTCACAAAGATGTGGAAATATATTCTGACTGACAAGGACCTCCCAACCTTGCCTATGTTTGGATCAACGTGGGTGTGAACTGATGTTCTTGAAGGTGGGATTCATTAAGTAACGTACAGATCACGAATGGTTGGTGTCAATTTAGAGGCGCAGCTGAGATGTGCATCAAGTTCAGATATTCAGCCAACAATTTTGCAAATTGTCACATTAAATTCTCACATTTCCAACTTAACAATTTGCTTCGTTTTATTGTCTAAGGTAGTTTCTCACCTCCGGCTGTGACCCGGGGCATGGGAGCAGGCAGGGTGGCCGCCTCCGTGCGGCCGCCTCGTTTTAAGTGAACACGTGTTATTATTATAATAAAAAAGAAGCTCTAAGCCACAAGGGCTATACAGCAAGTGAACACGTAGTCAAAATTTATGTACTGTATTGTGAATAAACTTGTTCAGTTATTATTTTTTTTTAATTTTCAGCTGAGCAAACTAATTTTAGCACAGTGGCAAAGTTTACTTCCCATTCTCTACATCTGTGACTATATGTAAAAATAACTTGCCTACCTATACCTTACATTCTCCAGGTTTAACAATTCACTAACTACAATAATAATAATGTAAACACCTCATCAATGTAAACTCAAGCAAACAATTTATAGTTTATTTTACAATCATTAATTCTTTGTCAACAAAACTTCTGGTGATGCTTTCAAACAAAAAATATTAGACATACAATACAATAGTTTGTAAAGCAAATAGTATGCACAGTATTTCAGGAAAATTTATACTATTTGGTAAGCATAATGCTAATTAATACTGGGGATGCTAAATCATTCAAACCTGAATATAAAACTATTAAATATAAACACTAACACAAGATTCAGAATTTTAATGGTTTTACTTTATTATATTAAATAACCTCTAGAAACTCCTTAATTTTATTCAACTCAGTTCAGTTAAAAAATACAATTATATGTTCAATGATGGACTGCTTTAAATTACAAAATAAATAAACGAATAGAAAAACTCCGAGAGAAAAATTTCCGCAAAGAAATGGGTGATAACTGAAGTACAAAGTAGTGTAGTACCCCAGCAGTAGTAGTTCAACTAGCTGGAGTCTTGGTTGCAGTTCGTCTTTGACTGAACTCTCTGCTTGCTGCTTGTAACTGCTGAAGCCAATACATGCGGGTCTGTGCTGATGATGCTTCCAACAAGATCTCCTCATTACAACACCTGAAAATGGTGATACACACTGTTTCATCATTCGTCTCTCAACCTGCGGGTAGGGAGGACGCTCTCTGCGCTTGCCACTGTTGTTCCCTGGTGGCGGTTGGTGCACCTAGGTACCCAAAATGGCTAATCGACATGGACGCCGTGTAAACACGGTCTGTGTGGAACTGGTCCGCGGAACACTTAGCAGTTCTACGATGCATGTGGTTCTTCCTAATATCATTTGTGATGCGTACAGCATTCTGAATGAAGAACTGTATGGAGCTGCAATTAATGGACTGTCGAGGATTTTCGTCAAGTTCACGAGTGCCGGGTTTCATGCCAGCTTTCCAGGAGAGGAGTGTGACAGTTAATTCAGCCGTAGAGGTCTGCCTTCATGACGTCTCACATTACGTAATGTGGGTAAAAGTCAGGAATGTGCCATTCGAGGCAACGGAATATGATCTTTTGGAGGTATTTCGCAGGTATGGCATGGTTCATGCGGCTGCATTGGGTGTGTGGAAGGAGGGGCCTTATGAGGGGTTGCCAGAAGACTCCTTCACACCTAAGATGTTGTTGAGGCAGCCGATACCATCATATGTCCTCCTGGATGGTTACAGGATACAGGTCTACGTATATTATGCTGGACAAAGGCAGACGACTTGCAGGTTGAGCGGGTCTTACAACCATATGGCAGCCCAGTGTCATAGAAGGCAGGGACGATGGGTGCCACAGCCTACACCAGTAGACCAGCAGCTGGGCACTTTAGTGCCTGGGACTGGTGCCACTGAAGGGCAGGTGCCTCAGAGTTGGAGCAAGGAAGTGGACAGAACGGACCTGGAACTGGGACTGTGTGCCACATTACCTGAGGGGTCGGTAGCTAAGCCGATGCCTATGGTGGAGACTGTCGACATGAGTGAATTGCATAAGGATGGGCTGTTGGAGGCGGTCTTGCAAGACTTCCTGGGTGAGGAGGAGGGCAGCCAAGGGGGAATGGCGGGTGGCCGTGAGATGGTGGGGATGTCGGCGACACCAGAGGGTAAGGAGAGACTGTGTAAGGAGAGACAGGTGTGAGAGATGGTGGTCGAGGTGCACCAGGAGGCCATGGAAGATGACTTCATGTGTGGAGATGGTGGTTCACGAAAACGAACGACTGGGGCTTTGGACATGGATGAAGTAATAACGCCAGGGCAACAGCCTGGGAAGAAATCTTGGACGACCATGATGGAGACACTGGGGCTTGGCGGTACCAGTACGGTTGTGCTGAAAGGATCTCAGGCTCCGGGGGGCCTGGAGGTCAGGACAGGCAGAGTGCCAAAAGCGGCACCAACCAGCTGTCCGGTGGTTCGAGTAACCGCAAAGGCGCCGGGAAAAACCGCCATTACTGTAATACAGTACTTCAAGGTAGTCACTATCAATGTCAATGGCCTGAGGGCTGAAGTTAAGTGTGTCTGGATGGTGTGGTTTCTATGGAGATTTGATTTGGATATTTGTTTTATACAGGGGCATAATTACAAGTCTGGATGTGAGTTGCATTTGAAGGGGTATAATCTGTATGTGAGTGGCTCGTTAAGGTTGAAAGGTGGGGTGGCTGTGGCTGTGAAGGAGACCAGTCCCTTGCATGTTTTGGGGTGGGAGGAGGAGGGGTGGGAGAGTGGTGCTGGTGGAGGGGGTGTGGGGTGCGACTGGGGTTTGTTTTATTAAAGTATATGTCCAATAAATGTCCCTGCAGACGGCAATGCTAGAGTCAAGGAAAACTTCGTGAGGGATGTGTTGATATATTATTTTAGGGGTTTGCCTTTAGTCACTGTGATCGGTGGAGATTGGAATTGCGTTATAAGACAGGGCAATGTGGACCCATAGGGGGCAGGGTGTGTGTTGGGTCTATTACACAATGTGTTGAGTGATGTGGGGGTTTTCGATGTGGCGGGGCGGGGTGGTTGGAGGGTTGAGTATACCTTTGTACGCAGGGGTTATGCTGCACGACTGTATAGGCTTTATACAACGGAGGAGATCAGAGTAGTGGGGGTTCAGACTTGATGTGGGGTTTTCTGACCATAGAGCGGTTATTGTCGAATCTGGAGTGGGATGGGATGGTTAGGACCTACCCAGGTTATTGGAAGTTGAATGTGAGGCTTCTGAAGGGGGAGGGGGTGAGCGAAGTTTTTGGGGAATGGTGGCAATCTTTTATAGGGTCATGGGGCGCGGGGATGTGTGTTTTGGATTGGTGGGAGAGGCGGGCTAAACCTGGTATAGCGGGATTCTTTAAACATTGGGGCAGGGAAGAGGCTCAGTGGAGATATGGTTTACAGAATTATCTGGAAGGTCAGCTGAATGATTGTTATGAGAGGGGGGGGGAGCAGTATGGGACCGTCGAACAACTCCGGGGTAGATTGGCTGAAATCCATAATGACCATTTTGATGCGGTGTGCGTGCGGGCGGGATTGGAGGCTGTGCTGTGGGGGACAAGCCTTCGGATAGCATTTTACGACAGTTTTAGGTGAGGTAAAAGGAGTCAACCTTATTGCAATTGGAGGTCGGTGTAGGTATGGGTGGATATCAGAGGGGTCAGGTGCTGACAAATACGGAAGGCTAGAGTAATTATGCTGATCATTGGTTTAGGGAGAAATGGAGGCAGAGGGAGGAGGGTATTGCTACGGAGAAAGTGTTGAGGGGAAGGGGGCTGGTTAGGCAGGCAAAGTGGGGTGGGGGTTGAGTTGGGGGGGTAGGATTAGCATGGGGGAAGTAGAGGAGGCAGCTTTCAACATGAATACAGGCAAGGCGCCAGGAATAGGTATGATATCAAATGATTTCTATAGGGTTCACTGGGAGTATATTAACTTAAGCATTGTCTGCTGGAGATCTTGAATTTTACGTTGCAGGAGGGAAAGCTAGGACAGACACAAAGAACAGGGGTGGTCGTATTGGTCTGCAAGAAGCAGGAGGGGAGGGTCCTGAGTGCGTATAGAGCTATTTCACTGTGTTCAGACTAAGATTTTTGTGAAGATTTTAGGTAATAGGATGAGGAAGGTTATGGGGACCGTTATCCATAGGGGTCAGTTGGGAATCCCGGGACGAAGTATGCGAGATGGACACGGGCACATAAGGGATTTTTTGGGGAGTTGCAAAGGCGGGGGGAACTTTTGGGGCTCGATTGGGAGAACACGTACGACTGTATGGATAGACAATTTTTGAGGGCTAGTTTGTTGAGTCAGGGTTTTGGGGTAGGGATGGTGCGGTGGGTTGAGACGCTGTACTCATCGGCAATGGTGAGGGTCCAAGTTAATGGGATGTTGGGGAGTCCGGTAAGCATGGAGAGAGGTTTGCGGCAAGGGTGCCCACTCTCTCAAATTCTGTTTGCGTGCATGCAGAATCCATTCTATGGGCTTGTAGAGGGAGGGGGGAATGTTTCAGGGCGGGAGGGACAGTTGTGTCGGTATAGTGGGATATGTGGATGACACCACTGTCCTGATAGATGGGGTAGAGGGTTTGCGAACTGTGGGAAGGGTGCTGGAGCTTTTTGAGGAGATGACGGGCATGCGTGTAAATAGGGCAAAATCGAGTCTAATGGAGATGGGCTCTTGGGTGGGGGGGGGATTTGGGATTGGAGTTCGGGTGGTCCGTGGTGGATAGGCTTAAGATCTGTGGGGTTACGTACATGGCGAATGAGGAGGAGGCCAGACAGGTAAACTCGGAGTGGGTGGTGGATAAAGCAGTAAGTAGGCTGAGGGGTTTAAGGGCAGGAGATGTCACTTTGCAGCAAGGGCGGTGATAGTTAATTCTCTTGTTTATAGCAAAGTGTGGGGTGTGACAGAGGTATATCCTTTGAGAACACAAGATGTACATGAGCTCCAGCGTCGGGTATTACGTTATGTTTGGGGTTTTGGGAGGGCATGGTTAAGTAAGGTGGTGGTTATGTCTCATGTCTGTAGTGGAGGGGGGCCTTCTAGCGTTAGGGTCGAGAGTGAAAGCCCTATATGTAAAACAGATTCATCAGGGCGGGAGGGGTAAGAGGGATTAGAGTGGCGGAGGTGATGAGGGCTGTATGTAAATGGTGGGGTGCCAAGGAGTTAATCGAACGTGAAGATATGCTGCGGGTTTTGTTATTGGTACGGGAGGTCGCACGTCTTAAAGTGGGACATTTGGTGTCGATGAGTAGGAGGTCGGAGATTATGCAGGGGGTAGCCGTGTTCTCCTTGTAAGATAAGATAAGATTTCGTTCGGATTTTTAACCCCGGAGGGTTAGCCACCCAGGATAACCCAAGAAAGTTAGTGCGTCATCGAGGGCTGTCTAACTTATTTCCATTGGGGTCCTTAATCTTGTCCCCCAGGATGCGACCCACACCAGTCGACTAACACCCAGGTACCTATTTGCTGCAAGGTGAACAGGACAACAGGTGTAAGGAAACGTGTCGAAATGTTTCCACCCGCCGGGAATCGAACCCGGGCCCTCCGTGTGTGAAGCGGGAGCTTTTTAGCCACCAGGCCACACGGGCAGACTTCCGGAAGCTTAGATTGAGGCCAACAGTGCGTGAGTTAGTATACAGATTCCTAATGGGGATTTTGGCGTCAAAATCAGTATTGAATTTGATGGGCTTGGTGAAGGAACCGTACTGTCTACATTGTGGGGAATTGGAATCAGCATTTCATGCAGTTTATTTTTGTGAGGCATTGAGGGAGGCGAGGTCATGGTTGGGGAGGGTCTTTCATCTTTTGGGTGGGAGTAATGTTTCGACCCTACGCGCTTTAACGCTCGACGTGAGTGGGGTTCCAGGAGAGGTGAAAAGGGCCATCATGTATGTGGTAACGGATTTTCTGAATACATGTATTTCATGGGGAATGAGGGAGATTGGGGGAAGATTTCAAATTAAGGCAATAGCGGCGGGTATATATAAGACTGTCAGTAGAAATAAATTTATTTACGGGGAAAAGTGGGGAGTCTGTTTTCCGGAGACCTACCGTGGCCTTACGGACAGTCGTCTCCTTCAATTGTAGTTTTTTTCAGGACTAAGGAGGTGGAAGTGTGAGTGAGCCATTAGTGTGCAGGATGAGTGGGGGTAGCAGTATAAAGGCCTGTCGCGGAAGCGTGAATGGGTTTTTATGGTTTGGATTTGTGTAGTTACTGGCCTTGTGATATATTCAGGTGGTTTTTCATGAACATGTTCCAAGCAGACGGTATGCTCAGAGATGGGCAAAATTTTGTTATAGCATGTATGTTGTGTGTAACAGGTAGGGTTGGTTGGGGGGAGGGTATCTTACAGACACAGTATGCCTGTGTTACCGAAGAGTCTTAGAGATGCAAAACAGTTTATGACTTGGGTCGCTGTTACCATATGTGGACAAGTACAGTGGAACCTCAAAAATTGAACTGCTCCCAACACAACCAATTATGTAAGTGTATTTTTGTAAGTGCTTTTATAAGTGTATTTTTGAGGGTCTGAAATTAACTAACCTAATTTACATTATTCCTCATGGGAATAAATTCATTCGGTAAAGGCACTCAAACAGCCTTCTGGACCAAAGAAAGTTCGATATTTGAGGTTCCACTGTAGTTGTTTTGCGGTGGCAGATGTCACGGTTAGACGACTCATGTAATCTAGTATTTCAGAATTGCTCCGTATTGTGTTTTATTCTGTGTATCTGAGGTTCACAGAGACAATATAAACAGTGTGGCATGTTTTGAATGATAGGTTTTTGTGTTATGTTAAACAATTTGCTGTTATTCAGGATTATCGTAAAGATACCTGTATGTTCAGGTGTGGGATGTCCTTTATTCTAGTATTTTGTATGTTGAGTGATCGGGTGGGGCATTTTTGGGGGGTATCTTTAGGACATTACCGAAAGTGTGTTTTCACACCATATATATTTAGAGTTGGGTTAGGAAAATTGGAGATAGTTTGTTTTATCTTTGTTAATGACAATTGTCTCTGAGTTTTAAGGAATTCTGTAAAATATATGTAGTAGCATGTTTACGACGAGTTTCATCCAGCATAGGAATGGAATTTTCTGTTTTGCAGCTGATGTTGGGAGACATGTTGTCTCACTGTAGACGATAATGATTGTACAGATTGAGCACTGGCCAACCTAGGATGGTTATTTATGGACTATAACCTAACATCCCGCATAGGAATGGAATTTTCTGTTTTGCAGCTGACGTTGGGAGACATGTTGTCTCACTGTATTACCTGGAGTTTACCTGGAGAGAGTTCCGGGGGTCAATGCCCCCGTGGCCCGGTCTGTGACCAGGCCTCCTGGTGGATCAGAGCCTGATCAACCAGGCTGTTGCTGCTGGCTGCACGCAAACCAACGTACGAGCCACAGCCCGGCTGGTCAGGAACCGACTTTAGGTGCTTGTCCAGTGCCAGCTTGAAGACTCCCAGGGGTCTGTTGGTAATCCCCCTTATGTATGCTGGGAGGCAGTTGAACAGTCTCGGGCCCCTGACACTTATTGTATGGTCTCTTAACATGCTAGTGACACCCCTGCTTTTCATTGGGGGGATGTTGCATCGTCTGCCAAGTCTTTTGCTTTCATAGTGAGTGATTTTCGTGTGCAAGTTCGGTACTAGTCCCTCTAGGATTTTCCAGGTGTATATAATCATGTATCTCTCCCGCCTGCATTCCAGGGAATACAGTTTTAGGAACCTCAAGCGCTCCCAGTAATTGAGGTGTTTTATCTCTGTTATGCGCGCCGTGAAGGTTCTCTGTACATTTTCTAGGTCAGCATTTTCACCTGCCTTGAAAGGTGCTGTTAGTGTGCAGCAATATTCCAGCCTAGATAGAACAAGTGACCTGAAGAGTGTCATCATGGGCTTGGCCTCCCTACAGATTGAGCACTGGCCAACCTAGGGTGGTTATTTATGGACTATAACCTAACATCCCGCATAGGAATGGAATTTTCTGTTTTGCAGCTGACGTTGGGAGACATGTTGTCTCACTGTAGACGATAATGATTGTACAGATTGAGCACTGGCCAACCTAGGGTGGTTATTTATGGACTATAACCTTACATCCCACATAGGAATGGAATTTTCTGTTTTGCAGCTGACGTTGGGAGACATGTTGTCTCACTGTAGACGATAATGATTGTACAGATTGAGCACTGGCCAACCTAGGGTGGTTATTTATGGACTACAACCTAATATAGATTGTACGTGTATTTTATTTCCATATTCTCACTGTGTGTATAAGTGTTGGTGGTGTTGTGGTTAAGTTTGATAATATTTAATCATGTTAATTTGCATTTGCAATATGTCATCACCTTATGTTCAGATCTATGGTATGACATGGTAGCACTAGACGGAGAGCGTCATCCTCGATGAGGAGGGTGTGCACCTTTTCTTTGTATAATTTTTTTGTTGGATATTATAGATGTGATGCTATGTATGTTTTGTATGATGGTTTTAAATAAAATAAAAAAAATATGATTACATGTTCAATGATGGACTGCTTTAAATTACAAAATAAATAAATGAATAGAAAAACTCTGCGAGAAAAAATTTCCATAAAGAAATGGATGATAACTGAAGTACAAAGTAGTGTAGTACCCCAGCAGAAGTAGTTCGACTAGCTGGAGTCTTGGTTGCAGTTCGTCTCTGACTGAACTCTCTGCGGGCTGCTTGTAACTGCTGAAGCCAATACATGCGGGTCTGTGCTGATGATGCTTCCAACAAGATCTCCTCATTACAACACCTGAAAATGGTGATAGACACTGTACAAGAAAATATTTTATGAGTAACTGTTTTTTTATCACACTGGTTGTCTCGTACACTGGATTAAAGAGGTGTCAGTTAAGAAATTGTGGAGTCTGCAACAAAGGTGCGAGTATCAGAGAAAGGAAGCCAAAAGGAGAGGAATCTGAAATGAAGATGGCATACTCATGGCCCAAATGGATAATGGATAGGGTTAGCCACCCAGGATAACCCAAGAAAGTCAGTGCATCATCAAGGACTGTCTGACTTATTTTCATTGGGGTCCTCAATCTTGTCCCCCAGGATGCGACCCACACCAGTCGACTAACACCCAGGTACCTACTTGCTAGGTGAACAGGACAACAGGTATAAGGAAATGTGTTGAAATATTTCCACCCCACCGGGAATCGAACCCGGGCCCTCCATATGTGAAGCGAGAGCTTCGCCAGCCAGGCTACAGGTCACAACGTCGTTGCTTCTTCAATACCGACAGCGATATGCTACAAAAATCACACAACTCCTTACAAACTATTCCATCAACTGGTAATGAAATTATAATCAATTTTCCACATTCTTAAGACTAAAATGAAACAATTTCAAGTCTTACCTAATAGTAAACTGTCCCTCATTTTTATTCTCCGGGTCAAAAAAGAACGTCGCCAGCGATATATCAATCATCCCCAGAGGCTCGGGATCATTCTTCTGCTTATAATAGTAGAGTTTACACACACTATCAGAGTAGACAAACCATCGCTTTTTACAGGCGCTTCCTAACCCCTTCAACCCCGCCATGTGCTTCTTGCTTGACGTCCCAACCTTGTATAGGTAACCTGACAAGTTATATTCCTTCCTGGAGTTCCTGTCATCTTGCTCCACCTTCTCGTCAATCTTGTGGAGGGTGTCAGAGCCCCTGGTCCAGCTCCTGGCCCTGACAGCTTCCCCGGAACTCTGGGAAACCCTCAACCTCACAGGGCTGGACGACGACCTTTCTCTTATTTTAACCTCACCCTCGTGCTCCTCAGGCTCGCCTGCTGCTAATAAATATGGCTGGAGAGGTTGATAGAACATATCTGCGGTGAGAGAGACCCATGGAGTGCCAGAAGGGATGGAAGAGGAAGAAATAGAGAGCAGCCATCAGCGGCGCCGCCGCCGCCCTTCCCGTCCACACGTAAACAAACATCTGCTATAAATGACGTGACTGACACTCTCACTTGGTCTTCGATCCTCTTTCACTTATACTTCTGCTGATTTAATGGCATTCAAGCTTATTATCTACTCCTGGAGGTTATTCCGGGGATCAACGCCCCCGCGGCCCGGTCTATGACCAGGCCCTGATCCATCGGGAGGCCTGATCAACTAGGCTGCTACTGCTGGCCGCAAGCAGTCCAACGTACGAGCCACAGCCCGGTTGGTCCCAGATGAGGTGGTACTTGTACCTCCTCCTATGGGAAACCATATGTAGTAACAGCCTGGTTGATCAGGCTTTGATTCACTACAAGGCCTGGTCACAGACCGGGCCTTGGGGGCGTTGACCCCCGGAACTCTCTCCAGGTATACACTCCCTAGACAGGGAGCCAAGGCAGGTCACGATCTGGAAAAGACCCGGGCCAGGAGAGTACCCTTGAATTACTATTGTAATCAAGGGGAAGCGCTAAACCCGTAGGATTATAAAACGCCTGGGGGTGGGATGTGGAAGGCATTCAGGATTAATTCGGGGAACTGGAGCACAGATCCAATTCCCTAAATCAAGAGCCCCTCACCAACATCAAGGAACCTTCCCTGAGGGGAGTACCCTTGAAGCAAGGACGAGGAGGAGGTCGTTAAGGCTTCCAATCACCTGTTTGCAAGACAAAGATTTATTTAATAATGTTTTTTTTTATTAACACATCGGCTGTCTCCCACCCAGGCAGGGTGGCCCGAAAAAGAAAAACTTCCATCATTTACTCCATCACTGCCTTGCCAGAGATATGCTTACCTACAGTTATAAAACTGCAACATTAACACCCCTCCTTCAGAGTGAAGACACCATACTTCCCATCTCCAGGGCTCAAATCCGGCCTCCCGGATTACCTGAATCCCTCCATGTTACCAGCATTTTGTCTCCATTTGCTCCTATCCTGGAGTATACCTGGATTGTGTTATGGGGGTCATGCCCCCATGGCCCAGTCCATGACCAGGCCTCATGGTGGATCAGGGCCTGATCAACCAGGCTGTTACTGCTGGCTACACACAATCCAATGTACGAACCACAGCTGGACTGGTCAGGTACCGACTTTAGGTGCCTGATTTAGACAGCCGGGGGTCTATTGGTGATCCCCCTTATGTATGCTGAGAGGCAGTTGAACAGTTTTGGGCCAATGACACTTACTGTGTTGTCTCTTAGCGTTGTAGTGACACCTCCCCTGCTTGTCATTGGGGGGATGTTGCATCGTCTGCCGAGTCTTTTGCTTTCGTAGTGAGTGATTTTCGTGTGCAAGTTTGGCACTAGTCCCTCTAGGATTTTCCAAGTGTATATAATCATGTCTCTCTCCCGCCTGCATTCTAGGTAGTACAGATTGAGGAACTTAAAGTGTTCCCAGTAATTGAGGTGTTTTATCTCCGTTATGCGCGCCGTGAAGGTTCTCTGTACATTTTCTAGGTCAGCAATTTCACCTGTCTTGAAAGGTGCTGTTAGTGTGCAGACAGACACATACAGGAGCCATCTCGACCCCTATAACCACAAATAGGAGAGTGCGCGTGAACACACACACACACACACACACACACACACACACACACACACACACACACACACACACACACCCTGGTCACCTCTGACCTCATGGTCTGGCCATTTACCTCTAAAATGATGCTAACCAGAAATAGTTAAGTTATTCAAAGGGAGAGGGAGTTGGTGGCACCCTTTATTTTCTGATGCCCCCTATACACTATTTAATTCCTTTTATTAAACTTTTATTATTACATTGTTAAAAAGGAAGTCCTTCGTCTGTGGGCCCCTCTGGCAGGGGGGCCCGGGGCAGTTCCCCCTTTATAAATCCGGCCCTGATCGTCTGCCGAGTCTTGCTTTCATAGGGAGTGAATTTCATGTGCAAGTTTGGTACTAATCCTGTGAGACCTTCACCCACTCTGCCTGAGGTATCCCAGCAAGTGAGCACGTCTCCTGTATTAACCCAGTGCTTAAAAGAATAGGGAATAGCATAACAGGGTACAAATAAAACTTGGAATTATGGCTATAGTTTACTTAACATAGTGAGAATACAACATATGCTGTGGAAAATAATGCATTTTCCAGAAAAAATACAGTGTATTTATGTAAATTAATGTAATACATTGTATTTAATCAAAATTATGAAAAATGGGAAATTCTGCGCCTGCTCAGGAGAGACTCGCCATGTTTGAACTGGTCAACACAAACATTAGTGAATAATGGGAACAATTTTCGTGCTCTAGAGGTTAAAATTGGGTTGACACATCTCAAATAGGAGGCGAAATTGTTGGATGTGCATTCCTGCATAACTCGAGATATCAGACGACTGGACAGACAGCTCCAGGAACCTCAGATAAGTTATGTTTAACTTCGGCCAGTGTTATTTTCATAGACTGAGGTTTTCTGAGTAAGATACACATTAATCTCCAGTCAAATTGGCGAGTGATATTAAGATATATTCTCCTTCTGTTATATAAATGTGTATATATACAAGTATCATTAATTTTAATATACAGTCCACAAATTTTTATTTACCAGAATTCCTGGTGATGCATATTTCATTTGTAATTAACAGGTCTAGAGCAACTTGTGGATAAAACAGTGGTAGGTATCGAAGAAGGACATTTTTTTGCGACCTAGGTGTCCCAAATTCCTACTTGTCTATGTAACTTTGATAAGTAATAATTATCTTTGTTACCATTTACTGGCATGTACCTTATGTCATGTCCAGATAAATGTAATTTTCCATATATCCTTTTGGAGAATTACATTATATAATAATCGACTATGAGACTTATTACTAGGGGCAGGGGGAGATATCAGTAACATGGACTTTTATTAATTTTTAATTCACCCACCAGCTGACCCAAGATTCGCACTGTGGCCCATTACACACGGCTGTCCAGGGCTCCCCGCTCACCGGGCCAACAGTCACCAACTCTGCCCCAACCTGTCTTCTTTCTCTAGCCGTTTCGTTGATCTTATATGGTCCTTAAAGCACCCCCCCCCTCCATGAGGCATACACCAGGTGTTAGGGCCTGATGCCATCAATAACAAAAGAACTGAGGCATGTCTGACACCTATCTGTCAAGGGGTGTGACAATTTACTGATTAGGTCTCCCTTATTGACCTCAAGCACAGCTGACCTACATCACAATCCCTCTAGGATTTTCCAAGTTTATATAACCACGTATCTCTCCCGCCTGCGTTCTAGGGAGTACAGGTCAAGGAACTTCAAGCGTTCCTAGTCACTGAGGTGTTTTATTCAAATTCAAATTTTATTCTCTATAAGGATTACAATACTGAGTTTACAGAATTTGGTTATTGTATTGTTTACATGTGTGTGCCGTGAAGGTTCTCTGTACATTTTCCAGGTCAGCAATTTCACCTGCCTTCAAAGGTGCAATAATATTCCAGCCTAGATAGAACAAGCGATCTGAAGTGTCATGGGCTTGGCATCCCTGGTTTTGAAGGTTCTCAATATCCAACCAGTCATTTTTCTAGCAGATGCGATTGATACAATGTTGTGGTCTTTGAAGATGCGATCCTCTTACATTATCACTCCCAGGTCTTTTACATTAATTTTTAGTTCTATTGTGCAGTTGGAATTTGTTTTATACTTCGATACAGTTTTAATTTCCTCAAGTTTTCCATATCGGAATAATTGAAATTTCTCATCACTGAACTTCATATTTTCTGCGGCCCATTTAAAGATTTGGTTGAGTGTCTTCAATGGAGGACTGTCATGCAAATTCGAGTGTCATGTGCAAAGGAAAACACGGTGATGTGGCTTACCACTACTATCAAAACTAAGCACAAACCCCACATGAAGTCAAATACGAACCCAAATCAAGTTAGTTTTTAATATGTTTATTACACCCCTACCCATCCTGTGGGCGGTTCAAAAGATTAAGAGGTACAAAATTGGGTCCGGGGGACTGGACTCCAAAGTTTGATAGCTGAGCAAGTTAAAAAGGGTAATGAATAGATTGGCCCATAATCATGACCAAGTTACAAAGGTAATGAGCTCCAGGTAGACTGGCCACACTCATACAAGTTTCAAGGTAACGAATGATAACACGTTATGAATGATTACAATCATAGACAAATTCGAGTAATGATCGTTTCAAATAAACAGGTAAGGCCACGTTAACCACTAACTGTGTTAAGTACTAGTAATTACCAAGTGAACCATACCCTACCATCACCCTCTACCAGTAACAAGTAACTTACTCTTCCCCCAAACCCTCCATCCAGTAAATCCACCCCTCACCCCGACCCTCTAAGATCCTATCCCCTCCCCACAAACAACCACTGACGTCATACAATGTCCCCCTCTCCAGGTCATGCGCCATTTAGCCAGGAGGTCAAGAAGAGTGACGCCACTAGTCACCTTCGCCATCCACCTACACCAATCAACACCTCCAGTTCCATCAACTCTGTAATTTAAAAAAAACAAATATAATTCGAATTCATGTAACTATTGATGCATCATCATATGAAAATATTTTAGCGAATTTTCTTGTACAAAATGTTGAAGGAATCATTCTAATAATAGACCTAACTATTGCTTAGACAGTTATGAATGATCTAGTAATCCATACTTTTATCATTTGCAGACATTGTTTTGGCTTTGCTGCTGGTGATAGACATCTCTGAAGACTTGCAGCTGCCCACAACGCAACTTCACACCAGCCAGCTGCCCACAAACACACTCGCCACACGCCCCCCTACAGGACTTCGCCAACAGCAGCTGCCCACAACGAGACTTGCCCACACAGCAGCTTGCCCACACGCAGACTTCAACCACACAGCAGCTGCCCACAACCCGGAACTTCCCAAACACAGAGCCCAACAACACGGACTTCGCAACAGCATGCCCACAATCACGAAATTTCAGCACAACGCTTGCCACAAAACGGACTTCACCACACAGCACTGCCCACAACACGGACTTC